AGCTTCCAGGGGCTCTGCTGCCCCCTGGCTCCTCCCGGCCTCGGGTGGAGTGGACAGAGCCCTTCACGCCCTCACTTCTGAGGGGCACAGCATGCCGGGGGCCCCATGTGCTATGCAAGAGACAAGTCTAGGCTTCACAGTGACAAATGCCAGTCCCCTCATCACCCTTCTCCTGGCCTGGGTCTGCCCTGAGCCCCACAGGCTCTCGCATACCGACTGATCTTGGGCTCGGGAAAATCCTTCGTGTCTCTCATTTGGGGGGATGTGGGAGAAGTGGTAAAGGGGTTCAGGGGACGGACCAGCAGGACAGAGTTAAGGAACACCTGTTTCCAAGGAAGCAGCTGGGCTCACCCAGAACACTGGACAAGGAGTTTGAGGGCCCAAGCCCGAGCCCTAAGCCCCCCTGGATTTACTAGCTGTGTGATCTTGTTTAGATCCCTCCACCTCCCCGGATTTTAGCGCCCTTGTCTGTACGATGAGTCATTTCAATTAGATTAGCTCAGTGATTCCTTCACATGCTGAAATCTGAACCTGATCCTACGGTAGATGCCTTTGCATCTATTTCATTTCCACCCTTATCGCTATAAAACATCCACTTAATACTAAGATACTGAGAGAGGAGCACTGGCTGGGGTGCATCTTGAGACACTGGTTGGTGGGGTCTGGTGGCTTCCCTGGATGGCTGTCCGCCTTTCCCTCGGATCCTTCTCTGGGCCTGTCTCCGGAAGTCCTGTTCCTGTTAGGGGAGGGACGGAGAGGGAGCTGCTGCCGGGCAGGCTGAGGGCTACCCAGGAGCTGGGCGCTGCCCAGAGCACGGAGTCTCCAGACATTTCAAGCTGTTTCATTTGTTCGACCCTGATTTTAAAAAGAAAAACCAGACACCTCCTACATGCTTCTCCTGAGTCACCATGCAAAGTTCAACCAGGATCCATGGACTGATTTCTTTCCAGTGGAACTGTGCTTAGCAGGGGCTCCTGGACTGGCGATCAAGGGGTCACGAGAGGGGAGTGTGCTCTGTGCCTATCACGGGCACTTGCCATCCTCCCACCGAGAAGTTCCAGCCCCCGCTGATGGAAGGCCCGAGGAACCTCACCTCTCCAGTCTTAGTGAAGTGACCTTGCAGAGACAGGCAAAAGCACATTCCATCCCCATGCCTTCAGCTACGGGGTTGTCTGAGGCTCTGTGACTTGGCTCTGGGAGCCTTGAAGAGCTTCTGCTGTGCTGTTCTCGGGGAAGTCCACTCTCCTGGCAGCAGACTTGTTCTCTCTTGGTTTTGCCCTCCAGAGTCTCCCACAGGGGGCCCGGCCTGGGCAGCCTTTCTTCTGCTCCGGCTGCATACTGCACCCCACACAGCCCTTCACCTGTCTCCTTAAGCCTGGGTGTGGACTCGGACTCAGCCTCAGCCTCTCCAAGACAATGTCGTAATCTGCACTGTGCTTCCTGGGGCGCTACCCTGCAATGCGGCCTCGATCTGCTGTGTGTGTGCCCATGTGGGGTGAGCCCATGTGAGGGTGCTGGGTGGGGGTGGGGGAGGCAGTCCCTCAGCTGGAAAACCCACAGATATTCCTGGATCTGTTTCCACTCCTTTGCTAAGGCCAACTGTGTTCGGAGAAACGATGAAACTTTCTGGGCCCAGGCAGCAGATGTCCCTTGCAGGGTAAGCAATATTGGCACTGGCTGCCACTCGAATAGGTGGGCACTTCTCCAGACCTGGGGACTTGCCAGGAAGGGTGTGCACCAGATACTTCCAACCTCTCAGGGCAAAGGCAAGGGACAAGGGAAGGAGCCAGCTTGGTTTTCCATTTGGCTTAAACTCAACCCTCTCCTCAAAAGCAAGTAAGAAAGAGCAGGTCCCATTCTCCAAAGCCAAGCACGGTGGGAAGCAGGGCCCTCTGGCCCTACGGTGGCATGCTCCACACCAGCCTCCTTGCTCCTCAGGTGGGCCCATGCCCCTCTGCAGGGAGAGGTATTCAAGGAGGGACTGCATAGGGGAGACCGAGGCACCAGAATACACTTGCCCTGAGGGGCAGAGCAGAGGCTCAGGAGGCACGCTGTTCCTCAACTGCCCCCGGGGCTTTGAGGCCCATCTTGCCCAGCCTTGCGGACCAAGTTCTCTCTCTGAAGCATCTCCCTCTGAGCCTGGGGCCATTGGCAGCTTACATGCTCAGAGTGCTCCCAATCAACGCCACTGTGTCCCAAGACTCAGGTCCAGGACTGGCAGCCACACCCGACGCCACCATGGTCTCCATGGCTCAGAGCCTGGCTCACACTCGATGTTCAAGAGTATATGCTGAGTGATCATGGGACAAACGAGGACACAGGAAGCCGCAGCTGTCGTGGCCGAGCGTGTAGGTGGGACCACAGCGCAGGGTACAACTTCGAGTCACCGTGAGATGACCTCCAGTCCTCCCACTCTGGGCCCCCAGCAGACAGGCTGCAGCACCGTGGGATCGCCCTCTCCTGGCATTGCTGTTGGGGGTTTTGGAGTGGTTGCTTGCGCCCCGGCTGGCAGGGGTGGACTCCGGCAGGTGCCACGAAAAATGGACTTTCTTCTCCCTGGACGGGCTGCCTCCCTCATCCTGACCCTGCAACCCCACACACCTCTCTAACCACCCGCCGTCTTCGCCTGGGGACAGCTTGGTTCTTCAGGCCCAGGTGTGCTCTTGCCTGCCAGGAGGGTTGTGACGACGGGCATGGTGCGGTGCGCAGGCTCCTGATGGGGCCGCTGGCGCCGTCTTCATATGCGAGGAGGGATGGTATGGAGCCAACAGGACACGAGCAAGGGGCAAGGACAGCTGAGGAATCACTTCTCCCCCCGACCAGGGGTAGCAGAGGCCTTCCCTGGTCATCAGTGCAGCCGACCTTCCAGAAGCAAGGGGACAGGTATGACGACTTCTCACAGCCCTTCTTGTCCCAGGAGACTGTTTTCAGAGCAGTACGTTTACTGTCACATATGGTGCCATCTGGACTCAGGGCCTGAGACACCGACTCCCTTGCTCAGACACAGTGTTTTCTGAAGAGGCCGGTCCTTTCGTTCAGCTCACAGGCATACTTCCCTGACATTTCCTTCAGGGAGCCCAGCCTCGGCTGTGTCCGAGGAATACCCAGCTGTGTCCAGGCAGATGTCAGGGGAAAGCCATGGAAGGGGACCCCTGAGCTCACTCCCCAGCCCCCTCTATTCACCCTGTCCCTGTCACCAGGAGAGAGCTGCCCCTTGGGCTTCTGGGTAGCAAACCTGGCCAAGGCTAAGGCCAAAGGACAGTTACTTGCTCTCAGGTCCAAACAAAGAATTGGTTCAGCTCTGGGCTCTGGTTTCTTACCTGTAGACAGAGTATGTGTACCTCTGGGCTTGACCTTCACCGAGTGGTTACTAAGTGATGCAAGCATAGCTAATACCTTTGCGGCTTATACACGTGGCAAATGCTGCTTTAATAAAGTCTCTGAAGGACACAGCCCTGTTCCTGCCCAGGTCCCCTGACAAGCAGCTGGAGGCTCAACTCAGGCCGTGTCTGTGGCAGGTGGCCCATTACAGGGTCAGCTTCCGCCTCCTGAGACCGATGGTGGCTGCAGCAACAGCCAAAGGGTGACTCTTCAGCTCAAGATCTCTCTCCTCGGAGACTGGGTACCTTTGGTTTCAAAAGTGAATTAGGTGGGGCAGCTGAAGGCTGTGCCTTCGGTATCTGACAACTGCAGGCTGCGAGTGTCTCCATCGGGCATCGGGGAGCAGGGCAGGTGTCAAGTGGTTGCTTCTGGTTCTGCTGTGACGCTTGCATAGGCCGCCCCGTTCTCCTCGAGACAGACGTCGCCGGAGGCTTGAAGGCCTGCAGGGAGGGGCAGGGAACCTGGGAACTTCGGGACAGAGAGTAGCGTAAGGCATACGAAGAGGAGTGCTGGACCCTCAGGCCAGGCTTCACAGCACTGTTCGGGCGGTGTCCCCGCAGGGTCCCCTGACAGGTAAATACTCTAAGGAAACGACCCCAGCTCAGTCTCGGGGCAGCAGGGCCAGCATCACATAGAATTGACCGAAGAGATGATCTGCCGGAGGTGAAAGGGGGAGCAGCGCTTTACACCCCCAAACACACCCGCAAAGCCTTTGCATCACAGGGTTCCATCTCCTTGAGGGCAGCAGTGCAGAGCCCTGACCAGGGGGGGGCACCCCCCCGCTCTGGATGCAGTGGGTGTGGCCCTCACGCCTACATCCTGGGTTTCACCGACAGGGAGGAAGGAGCCCAAACCCAGCCTTGTTCTCCTCTCTCCAGGTGAGCACAGCTCCCCAGGGACCAGGCGCCTGCTTCTCTGCTGCTTGAGGTATCGGCCACTGGAGTTGAAGTCCTTTCCAGCAGTGCCCACTCCTGTCCTCCAAGTCCTTCAGCGGCGTCGGTGCAGCTCTCGCCTTGGACACTGGAGGACGGGGCAGGGTAGGAGTGAGGGGCGAGAGGGGGCCCGCCTCCCGGCTGAGCGGCGCCGCCCACCCTCTCCCACCCCAAATACTGTCACTTTCCAGAAACGAGCCACGCCCAGCTCAGCCTGGACAGGGCCGGGGCGATGGGTCGTGGGCACGGGAGGCGTATGGCGAGAAAGGCATCCTTCGGACACACGTTGGCCCAGCGCGGTGTGAATACTGCAGCGTGTGTTCTCTTATGGACCAGACTTTTTTTTTTCTGCCTATCTTTGCAGTTTTCTGGGGGAGAATCCACCTATTCTTTCTTTTTCCAGGGATACTTCAGAAGGAAAAAAAAAAAAATGGAGACGTGGGGTCTGGAGGGGAAGGTGCAAAAAGCAAAAGTAAAGGCAATAGAAGTACCAGAACTGACAAAACCAGCGAGTGTGTGCAGGTCAAGGGCGGGCAGTGAGGGCGGAGGCTCAGGCGGCCGTGAGGCTGAGCGAGGGGCTCGGGCTCCCCCCAGCTGAGCTCGGCTGTGGCTCTAGCTCTCCCACACGGGTGGCACCGGGTGTGTGGGGTCATCGGGAGGGGGGCTGATGGTGGGCTGGGTGGTCAGTGGTCCTCACAGCTTGGCAGACCTCCACGTGCGCCCTTGTCCATGAAGGTGGTGGTAGCTCCGTCTCCCCCTCCTCTCCCCGCTTGTACAGTAGCGGCTGAGCCGGCTGTTAGGCCAGAGAATAGATGGCGTTGACGGGCGACGTGGCCTCCGAGCTCTCGTTGCCTTCCGTCTCCTCCTTGTCCTTTTTCACTGTGTACTGGCCGATAAAGGAGCCGTCCTCGTTGAACTGGCCCTCGCCACCCTCACCGTAGTCCACCAGGCTGTCGTCACTCTCCTGCTGCTTGATGGTGCCGTCCAGGGACGTCTGGCTCCCCTGCAGGGGCTTGTTGTCCTCGTCACTGGCCGGAGAGAGACAGAGCATCAGAGCCCGGCCCAGCCCAGTGTGGCCCAAACCCAGAGGGGGCAAGGCAGCGGCTGGCCGCTTGCCAAGCACACACGACACACGCACTCCACGGCTCCAGGACAGGGCCCAGGGCCCACCCAGCCAGCCCTCCCCTGGCCGGCCGAGAGGCCAAGCAGCTTCTCCAACGTGAGGTGGCAAGTCCACTGGTGCACTCTTGGTCTGGGGTCCTCTCTAGCTGCCGGGAGCAGGCAGAGGACTGTCACCCGAGATGAGGCAGAGCCACCTGCTGCGAGACCAGGCAGATGGAGACTCGGGACGGTGGTTCTAGCTGAGCCTTTCTCTAAGTCTCTTCGTGAAGAGGTGATTCGCCTAGTTTGACTCTTGGTGATCTGTGAGTTGTTTGTTTTTTCAAATTAAAAATTGTAATTGATTGATTTTAGAGAGAGGAAGAGAGAAAACCGTCAATGTACTGTTCTACTTATTTATGCATTCATTGGCCTTGACTGGGATCAAACCAGCAATCTTGGCTTATCAGGATGATGCTCTAACCAACCAAGCTGGCTGGTCAGGGCTGATCTGTGACTTTGTCTGGAAGGCTCTGCCCTTGACAAACAGCCAGGGTCGGGCCTTAAAGAAACAAACACCAATCTCTGCCCTTCCCTCCCCTTCTCAGTCTGGGCGTTGTTTCTCTCAGCTCTCTCTCGGGGTTTATCTACAAACAGATGCTGTCCCTTCAGGCCCAGCAAGTGAAAGAGGGTGTGACATGCAGATACTATGTGAGAACAGAAACAAAGACTAGCAGGGCTCAGAGGACCCCCAGCTCCCTCAGAGGCCCCCAGGTCCTGCCCGTAAGCTCCTCCGGTGCAAGGAGGGCTGGGAGGCCAGCTACCCACCGTGCCTGCTGTACCCCCCGCAAGTGAGATGCCCGAGCGGGCCAGGCATCTGCTCAGGCACCGCATCCTGCCTCCTGGCTGGAAAACTCTGCCCTTTAGGCTCAGAGGGTGGCCTGGGTGCTTCTGGCTGAACTTCAGACGGGAAACAAGATCCCAGGCAGGAGGCAGCGGGACCGGCAATGAGACTCTGGGTCCTGGTAGGTGGGACCACAGCAGTGCCAGGTGGTCTGAGCAGACACACACTGTCCCCTCTGCTGTCCCCAGGTCACATTCAACAATCTTTCCTGCGTGTGCAGAAAAACAGGCTGAGTTGCCATTACACTGGGCAGTTTTTTCTGGCTTCTAACAACAGTGCTAGGCAAAGACAGCTGTCAGGGGAAGGCTGTGGGCGAGACCCCGAAGAGCTGGGCATTAGCAGATGGAAAGCTATTAGCCCGCTCCCCCCACGCGGGTGGAAGCGACCCCATTAGTAGCCCAGGTTCTCGGGTGGCAGTGCTGCGGAGCGGCGCCCGGAGTGCGGGAAGAGGGTCTCCGGGGTGGATGCAGGAAGTGCAACTAGCGGGTTTTTTTTTTTTTTTTTTTAATTTCACGATCAAATTGACTTTGTTAGGTGATTCATAACTCAGGCTGCATTCTATCTAGCAACTAAAAGGGTGCTCTGAGAATTGGCAGATTCTTTTTTTTTTAATCCTCACCCGAAGATATTTTCCCATTCATGTTCAGATAGAGTGGGGAGGAGAGAGGGGGAGAGAGAGAGAGAAACATCGACGTGAAAGAGTCACATCGATTGGTCGCCTCCCACACGACCCCGACCAGGGCCGGGGACCAAACCGCAACCTTGACCGGAATCGAACCTGCGACTCTTCGGTCCGCGGGCCTATGCTCGAACTGCTGAGCCAAACCAGCCAGGGCGAGAATTGGCAAATTCTAATTGCCAGGCTCCTTACTCCACCTGCCAGACTTTTCACATTCATCCCCCCCCCAGGGCCCTCCACCCCACCTGGAGAAACATGAGGACTGTGTTTGTGATTGGGGGGATTCCAGGCACCTCAGTTAAATGCAACAGCTGGACAGGAAAGGGATGGCCCCGTCCGTGCGGGAGGCAGGGGAACAGAGATCTAGGTCTGGCTCTCCTCGGGGAAGCTTGAGAGAAACCAGAATGATGGGGGACCTGGTCTAGCTCCCTGTCAGCCTACAGGAAACCTTGGCGGGCCAGGTGGACAGGCAAGGGAGGGGGAAGCACAGGGAGCAGCACCTCGGCCACAGAGCGGAGAGGGTGCTCCTGCTTGCCCAGGCCTGTGTGCCTAGAAACTTGTTGTTTTCCTCTGATGTATTCATTTCAGCCCTTTCTAGGATAAATGCTGTAGACACAGTGACCCCCTGCCCCTGCCAAAGCCCAATGTGTGTGTGTGTGTGTGTGTGTGTGCGCGTGCGCGTGTCCAACCTCAGTGTCGGTGTGCAGGGAGGAGGCAGGGGTTTTGGGCACCAGCTTTGGTGTCTAGGGGAGGAGAGGGACCTGCAGAAGCAGCTTCTTACAGCCCAGGCTGCCTGGTCCTGTGTTTGAGGAGGTCCCACCCCCTCCTCCGTGGCTACACTCAGAGCCTCAGGAGAGAAAGCCCCACAGCCTTTGGAACTGATGACCAGGAAACAGCTCTCAGCTTTGGGAGGAGCTGGGCCCCACCAGGGGTCCTGAGGACAGTCAGGGAAGGGGCCTCTCTTGCCTGCCCTTTGGGAGGCTTACGGGGAAGTTGGGACTGGATGGATGAATGTGGTCCTCGAGCCGCCAGACAGCCAGACAGGCTCCTGTGTGGGCAGTGACTCTGCTGCCCATTGATCTGATCCTGCTTGCCAGGCTGCTGATGGGCAGAGTGGCCGAGGCCCAGGATGGAATAAGGAGGACAGAGGAAGACAGGGTGACCTGGCCCCAGAGAGGGACTGGGTGGGGTGAGGAGGGAGAGTTCTGATGAGAGTGTTTCCTCCCACCCCACTTGGTCTGGGAAGGAGACCTTTACGACCCGCCCTGCACTGGTCCCTGACTCAAAACACACTTGCCATCGAAACAGACAGATGACCACTTCGTTAAGCCAGCTACGATGGCCTGTCCAGATCTGAGAAAGGGCGCGGGGACCCTGGCTTCCCCAGCTCTGCCACTAGCTCATCAGGTCACCTCCCAGTCTGGGCTCCAATCCTCTCGTTTGGGACAGTCACTGGACCAGATGCTCCTCTAAGGCCTAACTCAGACTAAAGCCCAGAGATATTGTTCAAGTTCATGAGGAAAAGGCCTAGAGCACCCCCCACCCTGTGTCCCTCATCCCTCACCTAGTCCCTGCTTTAGGACGATACTGCTTCCCCGCGTCACTATCTTCAGAGCTGGGATGGGTGTAGGCAGAGGGGAAGCTGAGAGCTGAGCTCATTTCACAGCAAAGAGGACTCAGTGCTCATTTTCAGAGCAGAAAGTGGAAACACATATAAAGAGCTCAATGAATCTTAGCTGCGCCGCTGAATGATAACATGCCATTCATGTATGTTGGCAGCAAGGGGGCAGCCTTGTTCGGCACAATCAGAATGAGCAGGTGCTAACAGAGAGCAGAGGTGGCAGCCCAACGGGCGAGGACATCAATACGGTGGCCTGTCAACCAAGCCGAGCTGCTCTGAGGGGAGGGCACTGCACAGGGCAGCGGGGACAGCCCACCCGACAGGGGGCGCCGTATGTGTACAGGAGCCAAGGAGATCACGCACCTGTAATCAAATGAGCCATCCTCTTCTTTGGGGTCTTCAGGGCCAAGGGGGACATCCTTCTTTTCTCGCACTTGGTCAGTAAGAGAAGCAAAGACACAGACATGATGACTGAGTATGTCCCTGCTCTGCAGGGTCCTGACCACAGAGCCAGAGGACCCCACCTCTGGGTTCAGCAACACTCTCCCTTTCAATAAGGCCCCATCGATGCCTCCCATGTTCTTGCTTCCACACTGAATCAGTTGCCGATTGATTCCATCTCTTCCTCCTCCTCAGCAGGGGTTTCGTACATCCCCGCTAAGTTCTCCTCCCGCCTGGCTCCCCGCATCTCCCCCTGAGGTCTTCCCTGGACACCAAATGGATGTGACCCTTTGGCATCTTTCTTAGTCTGCTCTGTAGTGTCATTATTTGTGTGTGTTGTGTTTGCCTGCGACACAATGCCGGTCCTTCCCTTGGGGGAGGGGAACTGTGCTTCTTCAAAGCCCCTAGCCGAGCGCTGGGACCTCACTGGATCCTTGTGCTAGGACCCTCCGTGTCAGCTGACATGTCCTTGAGGGAGAGGTCATCTTTCCTCCTTGGAGCCTTAGCACCGGCACAGAGCCTGGTACATAGCAGATGTTTACCTGAATGACTCTATGTATCCTTTCTGGGGTGTAAGGAAGGATAATCACCCCCATTTTAGGGAAGAAAAACGGGCCTTGAGAGGTGAAGAACATGTCACATAACAAATTGGCAATGGAATGAGTCTGGAGGGAAGACGAGGGCCCCTGGCTCCTGGTTCCCTCGTCTTTCTAATGGACTGGGGCTGTACCCTGCAGCTGGAGGGAAGGGGGAAGCTGTAAGAAGACCTGGCACACTTTCCAGTGGGCAAAGGAAGGCTCAGTGTTCACCTGATGAGTCCTTCAGGTGTTCCAGTCCCTTTGAAACCGGGAGGTGAACCCAGCAAGGCCACCTGTCTCCCTAATTCCCTCTTAGAGAGAAACAATCCAACACAGCACAACGGCATGAAAGAAAGCATCATTTACCAAAACAGGAATGAGGATTTGCTGCCCTCCCTCACTTCAAGGGGAGGCAGGCCTCTTTAGCATCCTAGGGTCTGAGGGTCAGGGGAAGAAGTAAATAGACTCTCTTCTCTCTCCGAGTTTGAGGTGGGTCTTGGAGGAGGATTCGTCCACCCAGATGGAGAGAGGCAGGCATTTGGGAGCATGGGGTACGTTTGGCTGCTGGGACTATGGGGCCAAGGGACAATGTCACCCTGCAGACCAGCAGGGTTTTCACCCTCAGGATCATCCATTATCCTGTCTCCCGTCACCCTCCCCAACGCATCGCAGGCAGATGACTTTCTTGTCCATTTGAAAAACAATCAATACTTCCAGAAACAAGAACACCGGAAGTCCTAGTCCTTTGTGTGTCTGGGCTGGAGACTCTTGAGGCCCACAGAAGAGAAATGCCCGTTTGGGACTCTAGGGAAGCCCAAAGCCCTTGAAGGGCCAGGAGGTCCCTATCGGTGCCCCCGCCCCCGCTGCTGCCTGCTCCTCACGGGGAGCGGCCGTAGGCTCAGGCGCTGTAATGAGGTCCTAGGCGCGCCGAGGGCCCAACCCCGCGGCCTCTCACGGGTATGCTGCTTCTGTCCAGACCCGTCCTCACGACATTCTCTCATGGGTAGAGAAAATGCCTCTCTCCCTTCGCCCTTTTCCTTGGACACCGGATTCTAATGAGATCCGGTCTGAAAAAAGCCAATTTGCTGAGCAGATGGATGGTGCGTCAAGGGGAAGGAAGGTCATTCTTAACAGAGACCAGGGTTCCCTCCATGTCCTCTCTGGAGCTGCCTGGCCTGCTCCGTCCGCCCACCTCGAGCAAACGTAATTAACTCAAGTGCCTCCTGGCAGCTCTATGGCGCCCAGAGCAGGCAAGAGAACTGTTTTCCAGCTTGGCCAGGGGTAGGCGCGCCCAGAGCACAGAGCCCCGGCTCTGGCAGGGGACCTGGTGACTCACAGGAAAGCTTGCTGGCCGGTTCCCCAAGCCCACTCCTCTGACACCTCCTACCTGGGTACTTGCCACCACGACTCCTCTTGATGAAACAGACGATGAGCAGAATCAGCACCAGGAGAGCAATGGCACACATGAGCCCGATGAACCAGCCCTGGGTGGTGACGTAGGCCCGGTTGTTGGTGTAAGCTGGGGGAGGGCCAGAGCGAACACGTGAAGAATTTTGCACGGAGGGGAGAAGATGAGGAGGGAGGGGTGTGGGAAGAACTCCAGCTACTTCATGTCCATGTTCCTCCTAGAGCCCAATGCTACCACCTAGCAGCCCTCTGGCCCAAACCACAGGGACAAAGGAAAAATAATTAAGGAGCCAAAGTCAAAAGGTCAGAAAAGAGGCAAAGGAAAGGGGATGGGGAGCAGAATAAGCAGCAGAAGGCTGACAGGCCCTTTGGAAAGGGGAGGTTTCCTAAGGGCGAGGCATGGCAGCTGTGCAAAGCACATCCTGGTCACAGCCTGGCGGGCACTGAGGGAAGGCCAGGATTGGCCACGGAGATGAGATGCTCCACGAATGAGCCTGGGGAGAGGAAACGGAGCCTGTGTGCAACCCATCAGGGAGCAGGGCTGTGGTCATGATGCAAACACCCCCTGTAAGAACACCTTCGGGGGCCTGCCCAGACCAGCAGCCTTGCCCACTAGCATGGCCCTGATGCCCGCAGGCTTCCTAGCAGCGGGTCTTGGTGGGGTGCACTTCCAGGACACCCTTGTTTTCTCCTATGTCCGCAGCTGGATTGCATGCTCCCTGAGAGCAAAGACAGTCCTTGCGTGGGTACCCCAGACGGTTGGCGGCAAGCCATGCTTTCAGCGCACCCCATGCCATTCAACACTTCAGACCACTTCCACACGTGAAGACCCCCCTCCTGGCAGCTGTGAAAAGCTGACCTGCCCCTTCCTTCCACCTGTGAGTGAGTCTCTCTCTGTCCCTGCCTGTCCAAGTGGACAGATCCCTGTGTGATTGGAGGGGCATCTGGGTGAGACTAGGAGACTGGCATTCAAGAATCATCTGATGGTGTCCTGAATGACCCAATGTCCTACATGACCCGATGGCTGGCGTTAGGGCTCAGGAGGGGGTGTGGGTTGGTAGGGCCCACTTGCCATTCTCCTTTCTGCAGACTGGAGAACGGAGGCAGCACCTCCTGAGATGCACCTGCCATGGAAACCGAGACGCGGGGGAGAGGAAGGACCAGACCAGAACAGACACAAAGCAACGGTGAGGCCAGCCCAGCAGGCGGGCAGAGTCACCTCTGGGAGGACCAGGCTGCCGCTGGAGCTCTGAGTGCCCAAGGGGCCAGAGCCCAGGTGTGGGGCCCCCTCCACGGGAGGAGCACAGGGAACAGAGGGGTTGCTCCAAAGTCGTAACCAAGTGCTATTTTGTGCAGCAAGTACTTGGATGCAATCCCACCTTGGCTGCTCTTGGGCTGAGAAACTGTCCTCCCAGCACCTAGCTAAGGGCAATGTACCAGAAAGTCTCACTCAATGGTGCTCTCCAAGCCCTGGCTGCCCGGGGAGAAGCAGTTGAGTTCTGTAGAACATGGCTGACCACCCTGGTCTGCGCACGCTGTGGATGAAACATGACCGACCACCCTGGTCTGCGCACGCTGCGGATGAAATATGACCGACCACCCTGGTCTGTGCACGCTGTGGATGAAATATGACCGACCACCCTGGTCTGTGCACGCTGTGGATGAAACGTGGCTGACCACCCTGGTCTGTGCACGCTGTGGATGAAACATGGCCGACCACCCTGGTCTGTGCACGCTGTGGATGAAACGTGGCTGACCACCCTGGTCTGTGCACGCTGTGGATGAAACATGGCCGACCACCCTGGTCTGTGCACGCTGTGGATGAAACATGACCGACCACCCTGGTCTGTGCACGCTGTGGATGAAACATGACCGACCACCCTGGTCTGTGCACGCTGTGGATGAAACATGGCCGACCACCCTGGTCTGTGCACGCTGTGGATGAAACGTGGCTGACCACCCTGGTCTGTGCACGCTGTGGATGAAACATGACCGACCACCCTGGTCTGTGCACGCTGTGGATGAAACATGGCCGACCACCCTGGTCTGTGCACGCTGTGGATGAAACATGACCGACCACCCTGGTCTGCGCACGCTGCGGATGAAATATGACCGACCACCCTGGTCTGTGCACGCTGTGGATGAAATATGACCGACCACCCTGGTCTGTGCACGCTGCGGATGAAATATGACCGACCACCCTGGTCTGTGCACGCTGTGGATGAAACATGACTGACCACCCTGGTCTGCGCACGCTGTGGATGAAACGCCCATCTCTGCTTCCACTCCTGTTCCACAGGCCAACCCCATAGTGTCAGATCTTCCCCAAGTGCCCCATAAGATCAAATCACTTTTTGATTCTTTTAATCCTCATCTGAGGATATTTTTCTATTTATCTTCAGATAGAGTGGGAGGGAGAGAGAAACATCGATATGAGAGGGACACATCAACTGGCTGCCTCCTGCACGACCCCAACCAGGGCTCGGGATGAACCGCAACCGAGGTACATGCCCTTGACTGGAATCGAACCCGCAACTCATTGGTCCACAGCTGACCCTCTAACCGCATAGCCAAACTGGCCAGGGCCCTGATTTAACCTCCAATACGTCTTACTACCATTGGGAAAAACTTCCGTTCCTTATCCTGACCCATCAGGCCCATTCCAGCTGGTCCTGGCACCTCTCCAGTCTAACTTCCCATCACTTTCTCCTCCCTCTCCACATGCTAGCCACACTGGCCACTCAGTCCTGCCTCAGGGCCTTTGCTCTTTCTTCAGCTCCATCTCAGCAAATGCTACCTTCTCCGAAAGGCTTCCTGCATCTTCCAGCTAAAGCAAAATCTCTCTCCCTGTCTCGGTCTCTTGGAGAACTCTCATTTATCATAGCACTTGTAGCCATGTGATAGTCACATGGTAGTCCCCCTTATCCACAGAGGATACATTCCAAGACCCTCAGTGGATGCCTGAAACTGGTTAGTACCAAATCCTACGTTTATTCCTATATATACATAACCTTTGATAAAGTCTAATGCACAAATCATGCACAAGAGATTAACAACTAATAATAAAATAGAATAATTATAATATAATAAAAGTTATGTGGCCCAGCCGGTGTGGCTCAGTGATTGAGCATCGACCCATGCACCAGGAAGTCGCCTGTTCGATTCCTGGTCAGGGCACATGCCCAGGTTGTGGGCCTGATGCCCAGTGGGGGGCACGCAGGAGGCAGCCAATCGATGTTCTCTGTCATCAGTGTTTCTATCTCTCTCTCCCCCTCCCTTTGTCTCTCTCTAAAATCAATAAAGAAAAAAAAAAGTTATGTGAATGTGGGCTCTCTCCTAATATCTTATTGTACTGACTCCCCCTTCCTGTGACGATGTGAGATGAAACAATGTCTTCTTGAGACAAAGTCAGGTGAACCGCGTGGGCACTGTGATTTAACGTCAGGCTCTTCCCGCCTTCTGGCAACACATCAGAAGGAGACCGTCCACCTTGGGCGGTCTTGGATCAAGCCACGACGACGCTGACGGCTGGGTGCAGGAGCAGACACTGTCAGTGGCTGGGGAAGCTTAAGGTTTCCAGACTGTGGCTGACCACAGGTGAGGGGCACTGCTGCACCACTACCACGAACAGCCTGCATGGATAAGCACTTCCTCGGGCTACGCTCTAAGTGCTCCCCCACACTCTCTAGTGTAATCCTCGCAGCAACCCCATGAAGTGGGTTTGCACTGTCCTGATTTTATAGACGAGGAAACGGGCACAGAGGGTAGGGGTTCATTCAAGGTCACAGAGCTATGAAGTGGTAGCGTTGAGATGCGACCCGTCTGTGCTTTCCACCCTTGTCCTTCCACCCGGGAAGGAGGCACTGCCACGTCCGCCGAGGTCTCCCCAGGGCCGGGACAGAGCCTTACACACAGGAGACACCTGATCCACATCCGCTCGGCCGGTCGCCCTCCATCCGCTTCCTGCCCTTCGTGTAGCCCACGCACTTTCTCGTGGCTGACGGGGCCTCTGCTCGCCTTCAGTTCCTCACTGTCCTTCCTTTTGTCACCCAGTCCAGCACCAACTCAGTTCCCAGCTGTGGGTCTCCTCGGCCACTCCTGCATTTTTCTGTTCTTGCCAAGAACCCTGCTGGAGAAAGACGCAGACCTCGGCCCATCACAGATTCACGGTCCTACGTCAACTGGGCCTTCGCGGCCGCCTGGCTGCTGCTCCCTCGTCCCCCCGGCTCCTCCCAAAGGGTCTTCTGACCCCCCCCCACCCCCGACGCTGTTAGCACTGGCCCCGCTTCTTCCACTCTGGAGACCAGTGACACCGCACAGCCTTCACACCGTCCCTTCTCCCTGTCAGGCGGGCTTCCTGTCCTCCTAAAGCTACTCCTTCCTCAGCTGTGGGGCCTGAGCCTCAATTTCTTGGCAGCTCAATCCTGAAAGGATCTCTGAAAACTCTAAAAAAATTATATTTTAAATCCTCACCCAAGAATATTTTTTTCCATTTTTATCTTCAGATAGAGTGGGGGAAAGAGAGAGAGACACACATACCGATTGACCCCGCATGACCCTGACCAGGGCTGGGGACTGACCCGCAACTGATTGTCGACCGGAATCGAACCCACAACTCTTTGGTCTGAGGGCTGTCGCTCTAACCGCTGAGCCAAACTGGCCAGGGCTGAAAACTCTGAAATTTTCAATTTCTGCTTTGTTGTCTTTTCCCTTCTGCTGTTAAATATGTTGAAGCTTCCTGTATCTCAAAATAAAAACACTTGAGAAGGCTGCCCAGCGCTCAGCTCTGGCTCATGCATTCTCCTGTTAGAGGCGAACCCAGTCTTCCCTTGTCTCCAGCTCCTGCCTCTGCCCGACAGGGCCCCCTGAAGCCCCCTATGCTGGGCGCTTCCTCAAACACCACCGAGTGGCTCTTCCCCAGACCACCTCTGCGTTCTGGACTCTGACCCTCACTGTCCACTCCTCGCTTTCCCACAGGCAGTCTTTCTACTGATCTCTCCGGGCCCCTCCAGCCGGCTCCACTCCGTGAGCCCAGCACTTCCTCCTGACAGCTCCGTGAGGGTCCATCTGCTTGAAATTCCACATGTGTCTTCCAGCGCCCCCTGCTCCCCACTCCTGTCAGGGGCTTCACCGTGCTCCCTGTCTCTAAGGGCTATCATTTCTCCTCCCGAAATGTCTCTCAGTCACCTCCCTGCTGCATTCCGAGGGCTCCCCTCACCCTCTGCCTGTCGGATCCTGAGGGTACAGACACATTATGTCGTTATGTTCTTAGGACACTCCGTCAGGCCTGGCTTTCCCACTCAGGTCTTCCCCTCCCTGCATCCTTCCCACCCCTCTTGCCCCCCCTCATTCTACCCTCCTTCCCGAGTCGCCCAGTCTCCCAGCTAACACCCACCTCTGAACTCCACTCACTCTGGGCAACGGAACATTTAATTGCTGTATTTCCTGGGTCCTGATTTCCAATGATACTGTTAAAGGCTTGAGAACAGGGAATTCTTTGAGCCCCCTAGTACTTAGCATGATGCTGATCACATATAACAAGGAGTCAGCGACTACTTACTGATTAACGGTCAATTTAATTCTAACACGACATGGTTAACTGCGTTAGTTTCTTCCCTGATACCAGCGAGGCGGTCACAGAGATATCGGTTTGACCGTGAGCTACCCCTGGAAACTGGGGTGAAGGAACCACTTCAACGTGTGTTTGGATGTGGTCCCCACCTTTTGCAGAGAAGCTGGGGTGTATGCCTGCAGTGACCTGTTTGCTCCACCCCCTTCCTGATGCTTGTTCTGATACATGCGGACAGCTGTCCCCACCAGGCTCCTCTTCCCTTGGGAGAAAAAGTCACAGTTCCAGAGAAAGTGGCCATCTGGGCAATTCAGAAAGCAAGTGTAGCTTCCCAGTCCTGACTTCATGTAAAGTCCACAGGTTATCTTCAGTCCTCACCAAAATGGTCAAAGCATTTTCTATGAAGTTTTGACACAGGTGTTAATGAAACGTATTGTGGTAGTCATTTCGCTATATATACATATGACGAATCATTATGTTGCACACCTAAAACTAAGGAGTCAATGTTATATACCAATAATATCTCCGTGAAAACAAACAAATAAACAAAAAATCAAAACAAAACAAAACAAAAAACAAGCCCCAAACCAAGTGGGTCTGGGGTAAGTGGGCTTCATCTGCCAATGCAGGTGACGATGCCTCTTTCTCTGGACCAGAGGCCACATGGTGTCTCCCACACTCCACCCTACCACCCCACTCAGACGTGAGCACATCATCTGCAAGGCGACCGTTCCCATGACTCCTAACTCATCGGGAGGGATTTGGTTTGGCCACGGAAGAGAGGCCAGACCCTCAAGGTAAGCAGGAGAATTCTATTCCAGAAATAGGGCAGAAGAACAAATATAATAGGGATGGACTTTCTTCAAATGTACTTGGGCTTGGCTGCTCTCGCTTAAGCATCCACCTATACCTCTCTGTTCCCACCTCATCCCGTCCTGGGTCTCTCCCAAACACAGCAGAGAGAGGCTGACTGCAGTCAGGGCCCTAATGTCCCTCCTTCCTGCCTTCCAGAGATCCGGGTGGACTGCTGTCTGTCTCGCTGGGCCACCGTCAGCATCCCCCATGCTGCTGCCTCCCCCCATGCTGCCTCCCCATAATGGAGAGCTGCCTGGCCTCTTGGAGTCCAGGGTTATGTGTCTGTAGCCCCTCGGGCCTTTTTGGCTTCAAGAGCTTCAAGGAGGTGATTAGCTTCCCATGTGGGATCTTTCTGGTCAGGGAGCTGTCAGCCTTGCTGGTGGTTTCCTCCACTGCCTTCCTGGATCCTATAGTGTGCTTGACTCTGTGGACTAAAGTGATGGCCTGTGGCTGCCTAAGTGACCAGTGGCAGGTCCAGAGAAGCTCACAGACTTGCTTTAATGAGACACAAGGACCTGGGGGTTGGTAGCTCTGGAGTCTACCCAATCAAGACACTGTATGTTTTCTACGGATCTGCACACACACGGGCACACATGAACTTCAGAGAGTGACCGTATTTTCTTTCCCCGTGTAACTGCCAGCCCGCTAGGAGGCCAGTGAGCACTCTGTGCCCAAAGCGAGGGCCCCCCACCTGCCCCTCCTGCTTGCAGTGGGTGGACCTGGGGAGATGAGCCTGTGCCCAGCGCCTCGCTTACTCTAGCTGCGGGACCAGCCTCCTCAGGCCCCCCGGCGGGAAAAGAGAAGTCGACACTGGAGTTGATGCTCAGAAGTGTATTATCAATGTCCATTGTCTTTTTTTTCTGTCCTAGGAGTTTAATCCTCAAAGCAGATTGGGACATCCCTAAGGACGGGGCTGGCCCTTTTCTCCCTGGCTCCTCTCCCCACCTCCGCCCACGGGGCTGGGAGAAGCCTCACTCCGAAGCAGGCTGCACGGGTTTCTGCAGCCTCCCTAGGGTGGATCCCAGTCCTCCAGTCTCCTCCTTGCCTCCTGCCTCTGTGCTCGACTCAGTGTGCTGATGAAGCAACATCGAATGCACGCACTGCTGGGCAACAGCTTGGGACCCCGGCTGGGGCAGGCAGAGTCCAGCCACCTGCTCCACTTGGTCAACTGTCCAGCTCCCTTGTCTGTCTCCAGGACAGCCTGGCCACTCACAGACATCCTGCCTGAGCTGGCCTGGCTCGCCTCAAGCCGGCAGCCGGACTCTCAGACTCCCTGATTTTTAATGGTACAAACACATGCAGGGCAGGCAGAGACACAGCGAGGATGACGGGACAGCTCGACCAGGAGGGACCGGGCTAGAAAGGGTGGAGAAAGACATTTACACAGATGGGCAGTGACTCAGAAGATGCAAGCTCCCAGATCAGCCTCACCAGACCAGGCACAGGAGGAGTAGTGAATATTCAAGCCACCGCGGTATTATTTTCTCTATCCTTGTGTCTATTAACCTGCATCTGAATAGGACATCCCTAGGGGCAGGGACTGGGCCTTTTCTGTCTGCCCACCCCCACTTAGCCCAGGGCTTAGCATGCATACCACCTGCCTGTCTGATTTTTAAAGATATACACAGACAGACAAGCAAGTGCCCTCACACTGTGGCCGCCAGCCCCCGCCTCGCACCCTTGGCCGAGCCCCCGCCGTCCCGCTCATTTGGCACAATGGAGATGCTTCTCCGTCCACGTCCACACCGAGGCCCTTAGAGCCGAGCCCACCCCAATGCTGGAAAACCTCTTCCCTTCCCCCAGCAAGATGAAAGGTCAACTACTTTTAAGCCGTAACAAACTCAAGACAAACGTTACATCAAAATAAATCCCGAACAATTTGCGTAACAAACACATTTTGGAGTTTTTTAACAACAGGCGAGGGTGGCGACGCAGGGACAAACATGCTGACCCTTGGTTTGGTTCCCGGAGAGATTTCTGGGTCGAGGCCGATGAGCCTGTCCCCTAATCCCACAGGCAGGAAGCAAGCCCGTGTCCCCGGGACAGGCTGTGCCCACTCGGGCAGGCCCACACCCACCGCAGGGGCCAGGTGTGCACACGCCGAGCCCTTGTTTAGAGCACAACGTGGCTGCCTTGTCCTCATCCTGCAGTCTGCGCCCTTGACCCCTATGTGTCCCCACGGGGTCAGAGGCGGGGCTGCCTCCACTGCGCATGCACTTTTGGCTCCACCGGGGGCGCGAAGTATAAGAGCTGAGACACGCCATGCGAGGTGGGGATGGGTGGGAGGGGTCTCCTTTCCAAGAGCGGTCAAGCAGGAAGCTGAGGATGAGAATGGAATGCCCATGCTTGCAGGGGATGGCCGGGCCAGGTCCCCTCTCACCTGTCGTAAAAATGATGACGGCACTGCTGATGCCCTCGTTGTCCCGGGAATAAATGCGCAATGTGTATGTCATCCCGGGATAGAGGTCTGTCAGCTGTACAGGCTGGGCCTGGGCCTTAACAAGGACAGTTTTTTTCGTGTGGTTGCCTGGGGAACAGAAACCCGAGTCAGCCCAGGCCCAGGCGAGGAGCTGGAGAGGCAGTGCTGAGGTTCCTGCCACCTGTGAAGGTAGGAGCATGGGGGGAGGGGCCAGGGCCAGCAGGGCCAGGCCACTGCGCGGACCAGGAGGTCACCAGGGAGCTCCAACAGCAGCCCTTCCACGTGTGCTGACCTCCTGCACGATGGTCCTCAGCGGGGGACCTGGTCCCTCTCCTGGAGCTTGCTTTCCTCACCCCAGTCTTAGCTCTACAAACATTTGATCTACTTCCTTAAACTCTGGCTCCCAGGTCCAGCATTGGCTGTCACCCTGACCAGGGTCAGAGGGCCAAACAGCATCCCTCCTGGCGCCTGGAGGAACCAGCAGAAGTGAGCGCCGGTGCATCTGGGGTCTAGGGTGGGTGTGGTGGTAGGAAGCTGAGAACGTATGGACCAAGCTCGGACTCTGGATTCCATGAATGTGAGTCCCATCCGAACACAGACAGCCAAGGGTTGCCCTGTTTTCCCTCAGAGATCTACCTCAGGCCGGGGCATTGCTCACGTGCTTAAAGCACATGCCCTAGAGGCCTCCATGGTGGGCCGGACCCCTCCGAAACAGGGGCTTCACTCAGAGGAGCAGATGTCCTGGCCACACTCTGGCTTAACCAATCTGGACCCGTGGTTCCCAGGCCCAGTAGAGCGTGAGCAGCTCAGCACCAGCCACCAGCTCTCCGAGACAGATGGCCCTGGTGTGTGTCTGACTATGGTCACTGGCATCCCTTTGGCAAAGTGCGGTTGTACCCCAAGTCTGAACCAGCCCCACCTGTCTAGTGGAGACAGCAGAACACATGGATTCTGGTTAAAGAGATTCACGCAGAGGTGAGATCTGGCTCGTGTGGGGGCTATTCAGAACCCTCACCCTGGGAAGGAAGTGGATGGAGGGCCCCATTGCCCAGGGCCTCCCCAGCAAACAACCCGAGATCTCCCCAAGGGCGGCAGAAGCCTCTTCCTCCTCCTCGTGCCCGCTCCCCCCACCTGGCTGCTGTCTGAGCACGTCGATTCATTCAGCCCCAGTCAACCAGGCTGAAAGGCCCTCCGAGGCCGGGGAGTTCACAGGACCTCTACTGGCATCTACGCAACCCGCTGCAGCCGCCGCCGCCGCCACCCCGCACAGCAATGCTTACTGTCGATGTACTCAACCACAAAGTCAGTTCCGGGCCCGAGATTGTGCTTCCAGGTGATGTTGGCCCATTTACTGTTGGGGGACACCGTGACGTTCCATATGGACTGCTCATCGGGGGCTGAAGGGCAGGTTAGAAGAGGAGTTAGTGGTGAGGAGGGAGGCAGTGCTGGAGACAGAAAGACAGACAGACAGACACTAGCGGCCAGGAAAGGGCAGAGTCAGACGTGGTTGTCACGGGGCCCGACAGAGCTCCAAGGTGTGGCCAGGCCAGAGGACCTCATCCAGGTATGAGCAGGTGCAGTTGGGAGGACCCGTATGTAAGGGAGGGCTGGAGACTGTGTGTCCCTTGCTAGATCACTGACGTGGACATGAACGGTGCAGTGAGAGGGACCGGGGACAAGCCAGGCTGGTTCCAGTGCAGAGGGGAACAAAGGGCCCACCTCTCCCCCGCACTACAGACCTTCCACAGGAAGGACAGAAGAAGCATGATGTCACTTCCCGTCACTCAAGAATCATGATGAGATTTGCAGGAAGGACAGGACCAAACATGGGAAAACCTTTATGAGCTCCTAGGGCTGGAGAAAAATGGCAACCAGATAGGTGACTCTGGTCTGAGGAGCCCCTGGGGCTATTCTTAGTCACCAAAACCCCAGACTCTGTGGAAAATGGCCTCGGGTTGTCTAAAGGGACTTGGGGTAGAGGCTGTCTGAACCCTTCCTCTCCCTCTCATGGGCAAGGTGGGACCAAGAAGAGATAACCCCTTGCCACCCAACCCTCAGAGGTCCAGACACCAGGAGAATCCTGCTCTGTTGGCTTCTTAGCGCCACAGTCTTTGAATCTCAACCTCCATGCACCACCGAAGACGTTAATTACCCAGCTCCGATGAGCTGGGAGCTACTTTACCAAAGCTATGGTGCTGTTTGAAGCCACAGCCTGTGGACAGGAGAGTGGTGTTCATCTTCAAACGTAATCACTTTTCAAGAGTCCCAGCACCCGGATCAGCCCCTCTCCAAGGCTTACTAGTGGAGTAACTAGCACGAGGCCTTACATTTCAAAGCCTCCACAAGTATGGCTCCTGTGTATTTTATTAGCATGCAACGGGGTATGTCGCCAACTCACTTGTCAAAAATAAATTAATAGAGAACATGGGTGATGCGTTTACTCATTATCTGTTTGACAAGTGACTGAGTCTGCAGGGCTGGGAAGTGATAAAAGATCTGAGCTTCACTTCAAAGCTGTGCCTTTCCCACGACAACCTTGTCAATTACTGGTTGCCCCCGATGAGTATGACTTATGTGAGGTGAGAGACCAAGAAAGAGATTTCATTGATGGCACCACAGGGCCTTCTCCGAGGGGGGAGGGCAGAAGGTGGGCTTCTTTACTTATCTACCCGATATTTCCACGCTGCTCTAGGCTACCCCAATCCCAGCTCCGTGGAATCTCATGGCTCTTGCTAGTGGGGATGAATTACGATTAGTCATGATTAGGGGACTTGAATTTCCTCCTCCTCTGCTCTGGGCCCTGGAAACAGCCAGAGAAGTGGATTTAAACAGTTTGGCCACCAATATAGCATTGACTCAAATTTCACTGTCTCAAAGGTCAATTAGATTGGGGCACTATTAGAAAAGGTCAAGTGATGGGAAACCAACACAATTTAGATGTGGGAGGTAGAAAAAGGCATCTCCATACAGAGAGACCACGCCGATGACCACTAAGAAACGGAAACGTTCGAAGAGAAAGACAAAGAAGGTGAGCTATCGATTACTGACAAAACGAGAAGGTAAGTGGGGTGGGCCATGATTGTTCTGCTGACTCCCAGCAAGGGAGAATCCCCTGGAATCCGAAGGAGACAATACAAAGTCCCATGTTACCCTGAAAAAAGTAAACTTTTTTGTCCTAAGATGAAAGACATGATAAGGATGGACATTTCGTTAAAAAATCCTGGCCATCAGAGCCATTCTGCTGCATGAAGGGAAATGGGGATGTTTGAAGGGTCCCCCACGCTCTAAGGAGAGGATCAGGGGCATGGCCAGGCCCTCCACAGTGTCCCCCACAGTTAGAAGTCGGTGGGGGGGGGGGCAGCTGGGCGAGTCCTACCAGAGGGCAAGTAGCTCTGCTGGTGAGACCCGCTCCCCTTCCTGTTCTTTGTGCATCTCTTCTGCGAACTCAGAGCATCCCAGTGGGACATGAAGCCTCGCTTTAACGCCAAAGATACCTCACTGCGGGGTCCCAAAGAACACCCATCACCAAACGCGGCCGGCAGCGTCCAGCAGCCGACTGTTTCCTAAAGTGTGCGTTGTTTAAGTTCTGGAGAGCACACCTTTAAAGCGAATCAGTGTTTCCGAGGTCTGAGGAGACGCGAGTGATGGACCACCCGTCTCCTCTCACCGCCCCCTCCCTCCATGCCACTGAATGAGGAAAACACGCGGGTCAGGCCTCGGAAGGCGAAGGGAACGGCCCGGGAAAGAGCTGCTGAAGGAAGGTCCCGGGTGCTTCCCGCCAGCCCTCTGGCTGCATCACACTGATTCTCCAGCTGGCCCGTGCGCTGCACAGGCTGGAGGTGCCCCCTCCGTGGTAATGAGTGTTTGGTGCTGGTTCTTAGAAATACTGCTGGATTCCCGAGGGGTCTCCTTGCGCAGGAAGAACAGAGCTGCCTGGCCTCGGATACGGGAACAGCACATATCCGGCTCTGCAGGCCCCCGGAGAGGCCGACTTCCCTGCATGTGTGTGCCTGTGGGGGCGCTGGGCGCGGGAGCGGGGAGAACACACACCTCCGGGCAATGCTGTTTCCGGAAGCTCTGACTTCTAAGAGAAAAGTCTGTGTTACCTGGGGGGAGGAGAGGTTCTGGGGCAGAGCTGCCGGGCACAGCCAGGACAGGGAGCCTGCTCAGGACAGGTGTCCAGGGTCAGCCCTTTGTGCTCCCTCCTGCAGTGCTCACCCCAAGCTGACTGCTTGGCAAGGAGTGGACGGCAGCCCTGCCAGGCGGGACCCAGGCGTCCTGCCTGGGGAGTACGGACCTCTGTTCAAGGACAGGGACCAGAGGGTGGGACGACGGGGATGAAGCGGTGGACAACCATCACGGGGAGGGGCGGGGTTACCCTTGCCACTAGGCTACCAGACTGAGAGTCCAGTTGTGTGTGTTTTCAAAGCAGACACAAAGGGAGGTGCTGGCCACTGCCATCCCAGACCCTCCTGTCTGGGGAAGTCTGCGGGTGGAGGACCAGGAGCATGGCCGATGGGCAGTACCGGATTCAGGGGTCTTAGTCCGGGTGCTGGGAGGACTCTCCGTGGTCGTGGTGGCGACGGTGGTTGTAGTAGTGGTGGCGACGGTAGTGGTGGCGACGGTGGTAGGCGCGACAGTTGGGATGATGGGGACTGTTGTGGCTTCGGTGGTGGCGGCGGCGGCAGTAGCATCAGTACTGCTCACAGCACCTGTGGCACCCACCGTAGTCGGGGGCAACGTGGGAGGAGCTGAGAGGAAAATGTAAAATAGCCACGTCTGGTTGGTTTGGCTGTCCACAGCCTGGACACACGGCCCCCACGTGCAGGGCAGGCAGCCTGGTGCCGAGACGGAGCTTAGTGATCAGCGGCCCCCGAGCGCGGCCGACGGACTGGGTCAGGGGGCCCAGGAAAGGACACAACCATGCGCAGGAAGAGAATGAAGCCCGGTGTGTTTCATTTTCTTCTCATGGTCTGTGTGGCTCGAAGCACCCAGCATGCATCAAGTCAAGGGCGGGGATGAGGATGGGGAGGGACAGGAACCGAGTCGCTCAGACCTCCGGGACGATGCCATGGGGTCCCAGGCCAAGCAGTACCATGCCAGTCTGACCCGGAGCCTGGCCTTGGAGGTGGGCAGACGGTTGGTTCCTGACCTCCAGGAGTGCCAGGAAGCCTGCCATTCCCAACCACGCACCCCAAGATTACCCGCTCCCCTGTCTGCTTGAGTTTAACACCACCAGAGAGCACACTCCCCCTCTGCGGAGCCTGCCGTGTGGCTCGCCTCTCCCGTCTCCCTGCTGACCCTCCCAGCCTCTCCTCCTGCCCAGTGACTGTCCTCCCTGCCGCTCCCTGCACCACCTGGACTGCAGTAACTGCCTTTCTCCCCAGGACAGCCAGGGTCCAGACCCCCAAGTCCTTCCCTCTGCATCGGAACGGGGAAAGGGCAGGGACGGAAGCACCTCTTGCCAGCCCACGGCAGGCAGAGGCGCCAGTCACAGTCTGATACATGCTGTGTCTTCTTCTCGGCATAAGTCTGCAGAGGGTTTCGATCTGCGCCAGCTCCCACGCCCTCATCTTCCGCCCAAAGCTTCCTTCCCCGTAGGCCAGCCCTTGGGTCTAAGTCTATGTGTGTGACCAGGTTTCCCAAAGCCCTCTTTCGTAGAAGGTCCTGGAAGCTAACCAAGGGCTGCCCGTTACCCTTCAGTTCCAATAGCGCTAAAGCCCGAGGGTATGAGAAGAATATTGGGGCAAATCCGAGAGCGAGGGCTGCCTCCCTTCCATGTCCTGTGAGCTCGTCACGGGGACTAACGGGGCAGGACGCAGGACGTTAAGACGTGAGCAGGTAACTCTCACTCCCAAGGAATAGCAACATGTACCCTCCCTCAGATCGCCACAAGTTCAGGGAAATGATATCCCCACCCCCCAAAAAGGGGGCCAGGCCAGGGAGGGAGCCAGAGAGAAAAGGGCCAGAGTGCTTTTCTCAGGGGAGAGTTAAGAGACCCCAAGCGTTCTCCACAAAACCCTGACCAACAAAAGCCCTTTCACTCCACGAGCCTCCGATGTTACAAGTCCCCCACAGAGGAGGGACTGTTCCTGGGACCCCTGGTCACTTCCCTGTTTGTAAGATCAGAGGCATTACTGGGCCCCGAGGGTGCTGACCACAGAAGCCACACTGGGCAGCTGACTCGGACAGATTCCCAAGATTCCTGGGCAGACTGACAGCTGCCGCCCCCAAGCCCCACTCAACTCACAGACACCGGGAGGTCTGCCGGGGGTGGGGCCAGTCTCCCTTGCACAGACATCATTCAAGGAAATATTCGGTCCAAGGCGGCCCCAGGCCTGGGAGGCTCAGCGCTATAAAAGCTCGGCGTAAGGGAGTCATCTATCCCACCCATCAAGACAGGCAGACAGACACAAACGCAGAAAACTCGAGACCCACCAGGCAAAGGTCGGCTCTCCCAGGCCAGGTCCCTGGCGGCTCCCATGGCCATGGTCACACAACTGCCCTGAGCAGTTGGAAGGAACCTCGAGAGGCTGTTGTCCAGCTGGGCCAGGGCCGCTCCAATTTGGTTCCTTATTAATAGTGTATTTTCTAATTAATTTCTGGCAAATACAAATGTTTACAGGACCTTCCCTTCCTATGATTATTTAAAAGGTGTCATCAATACAACCTTAAAAGGCTCTCTTTTGATGTAAACCAGCCCACCCTGTAGCAGAGACCTGGGCTTCCCTGCCTGCACCCGCGGCGGTGTTCCCTTTCCCAAGCTGTGCACACTCTCAAGTGCTCCTGGTCCTCGTGCGAGCAGAGACGCGCACACACCCACAGCCAGGCTCACACCTGCGACCATGTGTCCCGCAGCAGCTTTGGGAGCAGAGAGGCTGAGAAGCTGGGTGCGAGCGAGTTCTCCCTGGGCCTGCTGGTCAGAGACAAGAGTGACACATGGCTCGAGGCTCTGTCCACCTAGTCTTGTTCCTGCCCACGGTCCCTCTCGTCAAGTGTGACTGAAAGGCTGTGATTCTCTCGGATGATGGCCACCTAGTTGCTTTTCCTTTGCTCAGGCTACCGGTGGAAGGGCTGGGGAGGGGCTGAGCGGAAAGGACCAGGTGCTTCCCGGGCACCTCTGGAGTCACCCTGGAGGATGCACCCAGAGCTGCCCAAGGTCACAGCTGGCAAAGAAGCAGCCTCTGACCACTCATTATCCGTGTCTCTTGTCCTCTGGCTGGACGGGGCCGGAGAGACGGGAGGACAGGGGCCAGGAGAGGCTCTGAAGGGAGGGACAGAGTCAGGTGAGTTGTTAGAAATGTGTACGGGCGGGGAGGGGGAGGGAAAGGAAGGGAAAGGGAGGTTTCCATTGGGAAAGTGTCCAGTGCTCAGGTCAAAGGGGGTTCAGGTGATTTCATGCCCTGGGCGGGGCTGGGACAGAGGACAGAAGAGAAATGAAGCCCAGAAGCAGGTTTATCGACAGGCTGCAATGGCATATTGCTAGGATGTCACCTCCAGCCACAGCAGGAACTGCGGGCCGGAGAACCACCCTGGTCAGCGCGCAGTGGAGACCAGCAGCCTGGCAACTGGGAAGAGGAGGGATGCAGAGCTGGAGGCACAGAACTCCGACCCGAAGGCGGTGTCTGCCTGTCAGCGCCCCGTGCACAGCGGGAGGCGCCCCGGCCACGGCTGGCCGGGGTTTCCCACCCGTCTGGGGACACCGCGGGGGAGATGGAGAAAACTGAGAAAGGACGGCACGTCTCACTCATCTCTCTGACCCCAGAACCTGTCATGGAGCTGCCTACCAAACACTTCCAGATCTGAGCTGCGTCAGAGGAGGACAGCAGTTTCCAGACACATCCAGGCGGACGGTTCAGTCCAGAAATGCCCACGTGGTGCAAGGACCGCCCTGGCCAAATCACAGATGGCCAGGACAGATGGGCACAGTCCTAAGACACAGCGGGTTCGGGTGCACGGCAGGGATCAGAGTCACCGGTGAGCTACAAACAGATCGGTTTGGGGAAACCCACCCAGGTTTGGGGAGGATGAGAGGAAAGGGAGCGGTGGTCAGGCCCGCGTCACAGATGTAGGACCTGGGTCCACCCGGCGCCCTGCGGTCCTGCAGAGGTTCTCGTGCACTCAGAGCTGAGAACACTGACGGTCTCAGCACATCTCATTACAAAGGGCAATGTGCCTCCACGACCATCGAGCCCAGGAGACACACTGACGGATGGACAGAGACCCCGCGCTCCTTCTGCACGTGAGCTTGGACCTTTTCTAGAAGGGAAGTACAAAGTGGGGTGGTCTGGAATTACACCCATCCCCCTCGAAACCGCCATTCATGACGGGGGCAGCACAGACGGGCATGGATGCTCCGTGAGCAAGGCAGACTCCCTGCTACCAGACCCACCTGTCTTGGGTCCCCGGACGCCAGAATGGGGGAGGTGAACCAGGAGCTGCTGGACCAATGAGCTTCCAGCTGATTCTCCTGGTGCCCTCCCTGGGTCTCGTCTTCACTAAGCCTGCCCAGGCTGCCCTGTGCACCTGCTGTCACAGGCCCAGAAGACTCTTCTGCAACAACCCCCCCCCCCCGAGAACTGGGGAGGATGGCAGGGTACCACAGGGATCTGGCTGACAAAACAAAGGCAAACTGGGGGGGAAGCGGGGTGTGCAACAGAAACAGAATCAACCTAAAATGGGGGTGGGGTAAATGAGAGAAAGTGGGCAGGGATCAAACTGGGCAGAGTGCCACCCTCTTCATCAGCCACCCCTCCGAGTCCTCACCTGGCTCTCAGTTCTCCCCGCTGCCCGAGCCCTTGCGCTACAGCCTTTGCTGTGCCGGGCAAGCCTTGTTCTCAGCCTCAGAGGGTAGGTGAAGGGACCCCGGGGTCCCCTGCCTAGTGTCTCCAGCTTGAGGACAGGCCTTATGTGGTGAAGTACCCTCGGAGGTTCCTCAAGCCCACAAATGAGGACTTGGGAGGAGGTACTCGGTTAGCAGGTCAGCCTCTAAGCTGGGACCTGCTTGCTCAACTCTTCACTTGCGCATCAACCTCCCGGAACCCGAGTGGAGACTGTTCCCAGCACTGAAGACTCGTAGAAGCTGGGTTTCTGAAGGGTGAGGGGACACTCAGCCCATGGCGCCCGGAGACTCCAGATCCTGGAGCACCTGGCTCCGTCCGGGGATGTGCCCCTGGGTGCCCCTGGTCTCACTGGCCAGAGCCCACGGAGGTGGCGGAGCTGGCGCTGGGCCCCCATGCAGCATGCAAGGCCAGCATGCACTGTGCTCACCCACAGGCCACCCTTTCAAGCACGGCAGCCTGACCAGAGGACGGGAGCGAGCTGTGCCCACTCGCGGTGTAGCATCCCTTCTCTGGGCACAGCGGGCCACCCAAGGCCGTTGACCCTCTCTCTGCGCTGACATGTCAAGCCTAGGCAGGGCCCAGGTTGGTTCAAGGAGTAATCACTCAGCTTCAGAGGAAGCTCCAGCTCCAGAGAACAGGTCTGGGGCCCCTACGCGTGAGGCCCCTTCCGTCATCCTCCTCGATAGGGGGCAAACAGTAAGTGGAGGGAGGAGACTTTGATTCTGGTCCCATCCTCTGCACATCCTCCTGGACAGCCTGGCTTTCCAACACTGAAAGGGTGAGCCTGGAGCATGCGTTCTCCCTAGCCTCTCCCTCCTTCTCCGCCTGGCTGGCTCCACCTGGACCACCCCATGCCATGCCCATTACCTCCGCTGCCGGTACGGTACCTGCGGTTGGAGTAGCTTCAGAACACAGCGCCCAAGATGGCCAGAGAGAGGGAGAAAGGATAAGAGAGGGAAGAGAGAACAGAATACAGTGAAAACTACAGGACAAGCAGGCAGAGAAGGTTCTGGCTCACACCTGGCCAGTGTGGTCAGGTGTGGCCACTGCCCTGAGGATGCCAACTAGTGTTCAGGGCTCATGTTTGACACCACTGGGGTCTGGGATGTTTCTACAGAAGCCTCTCCACCTGGGTCTTGGGAGACTTTTCCAACGCACTCCGACTCTACCTCTTTTCAAGGACTATCATCTAAGAGGTGGCAGCAGGCACAGTCGACCTACAGTGCCACATTGGTAGGTCTTTCACCAAGAGGGGGTCCTGCCCTGGCTGGGATGACCTCCGTGAAGCAGGCTGGGTGAGCCTCCAAGACACCAGGACTGAGGGCATGAGGTGTAGGTGGTGTAGGTCGCCAACCCCAGACAAGAGGGGTTCCGATAGCTCTGGGGGAAGATGCTGGACAGTGCGGGGTGGGCGAGAGAAGGGGAGCGTATGGCCGAACCCTGTCCACACGATCTCAGCCTGGGACGGCCTGGGCAGGTGACAGGCCGGAGCCCCGAGGCCCGTCCCTTCCTGCTGCCCTAGGCTTTCCCACCAGTTGTACTTTACGAAATAAGAAACCCAACTGTGGGCCGAGCCCTACAAGGAATTCCTGAATTGGCTGCAAATCCCTAAATTGAGAAGAAAGTCTTTGTCTTCTTGTCGCCTGGGGCTGCAGAACTTTCCCTGTGGTGGTCACTGGGGCTGGACAATGGCGTCTTTATCTGATGTTTTAACTGGGGTGCCATGGGGTGGGAGGAGAGGCTCTCTTTATGTATCTCCTTAGAGTTAAGTAATCAGGAAAGTGCATCTCTCTGGTCTGGTCATGCCTTTGGTAAGAGGCATATATCAGGCACTTACCCGAAGCCCCCAAGCCCTAAGAAACTACCCAACGGTGTTGGAAGGCCAAACTGGGAGGGGGGCTTGTTGTGTGGCTCACGAGACAGAGAGGGTCACAGAAAGGACTGTAGCCATTCTCCAGCTCCTGCCCCACCCCCACCCTGGTGCTGGCCTGTGGCCGGGAAGCAGGGCTGGGAAGCGATGCAGGGCTGCTTATGAGGCTGGATTGAGAGCCCGGGCGGAGGCAACAGAAGCAGCAGGGCCTGGCAGCCCCAGGAAGCGAGGCACTGATGCTCTCTGGGTGGGGGCAGGGGTTCTGGGACGTTTAATCTGGGCCAGGACCCGGCTGCTGAAGCTCAGCTTTCTGGAGAAAGCACCAGACATGATGACCTGCTGTCACCCCTTCTTTGAAGTCTTCCCTTGCAGAGTCAATGCCCCCCGGCCTCCACACAACCGCTGCACCTTCCTCATCCAAACAACATTCATACCTCATGTTAAACTGCAATCGGACATGCTTGCGGATGTCTCCCCTTCTAGACGGTGTGAGCTTAGCACCTATTATCCCCCATTTTGGGTACAGTGTCTAGCACCTCATGTTGTGGGTACTCTTGAAAAGGCTTTTGAATAGACCACGGTACCTCTGGAGAAGCAGTGTGGTTCCCCCTTTCATAGGGCATCTGCTGATATCAAAGCTTCTATAGTCACAAACCCCTAAGAGGCTCCCGGACATCAGCCAGTGTGTGCAGGTGGGCCTGGAGCTCCCTCTAGCGGAGTTCTCAGGCAGGTGCAGCTCCAGCGGGGATCGCTAGGCTCCCGGAAGATGCTAGGACCCAGGAGATGAACCCATCTGCTCTTTGTGAAGTTAGTTTGGCAAATGCCTGTTCCCCAATTCCCCTTCCTTCCGCAGCCTGACAACTCACTCAGTTGAGGCTGCGAGGAGGGACTACATCGACTCATGATGCAGACAGGTAGCTTCAATCAAGGCTATTTACCCTGCCCCTTTGGCCCCACACGCCCTTAGGGAAAGAAGGGGTGTCCCCGGGCCCTCATGGACACTCTCAATATTCAAAACTCCCTCAAGAGGCGGGCACTCTCACTATTCCTTGGGGCTCATTAGCATATTGACTTCCAACACACTTTCCCTCATCGCACCTCTGCTCGGGGCTTGTCCTCTCTTCTGTATTCCCCCACCAGAAAGGAAGGATGACAGATGTTAAGTAGTTGAGCAAGTCAAGGCAAAGTGGGGACCCAGGTCTGATGACAAGTCTAAGGGGACCTGAGCCGTCCGGAGACATCGCCAGCACCTACCTGTCAGCATACAAGATGGGTTCTCTGCTCCGAGGGCTGAAGGACCCACAGCCTCATTTCCTCTCCCTCCCAGGAGGCCGGGCGGCCAGGGGTCGGGTCAGAGTGTTTCTGAGCATCTGAACTGGAGGGGGTCTGTCGGCCAGAGTCTGCCGCAGTGCACCTACCTTCGTTCGGGGACGCTGGTGACTCCTCAGTGACGGCTTCCCCGGAGCCCACCTGTGTCCTGGCGCTCAGGGTGAACCGGTAGCGTGACACGGGGTCCGCTCTTTGCACCGTGAACTTGGTCTGATTGGGAGAGAAGTTTTCCACCATCTGCTTTCCTACTTTGGTTCCGTTAACTGGGGAGACAGGTAAGCGGAATTGAACTATGGCAATGTTGACCGCAGTGGATGATATAATCTGCGGCTGGAAGGAGCAACCCTTCCCAGTTCTGCGGGGCAGGGACATGGTGAAACCTGCCGTGCACCTGCACGCTCGGGGGAGGGGAGGTTTGGTGCAGAGGCAGAGTGCACCTTGATGCCCGTTCGATGACACACCAGGGCTAATACTTGTTCACTAATCTTGTCACTAAGCCTTTGCAACAAGGGCGAAACGTATGAGTTTCTTTCTTCTTTCAAACAGAAGTAGGGCAAAACCCACTAGAGCTTTCAATGGTTAATGCCTCCTCAAAAACCTATTCAATGTACCCTGAAGGAGGAAAGTCAGCTCCAGAGGTCGATCCGGAGCAGCACACAAGCACACAGTTGGGTATTAAAGTTGTTAACACAAACCCCAACCCTTTCCGCCTCCCGACGAGATACAACATCCCCTACTTCAGAGCTTAACGTTTCTCCAACGGGATGACACTCCCATCCTGACATGAACTCCTAAGGTGAGATCTTCCCGCCAGGCTCCTGATGGGCCACTCTAACTTCCTGACAGGTCTACCCACAGCTGCCTTAACCTAACTGACACCCTGTTGAGGTGTCCCCAAGTGCTGTGTGGGTTCCTGTGCAGGTAACGTCTGACCCATCGCATGGACGTCCCATCAGATGAAGAACTCTCTCCTAGACTTGTAGGTATTGGAGACTGTCAGGTCCCTGAGGGCCGGGGTCGGACCCCTCATTAGACCAGAAGTCCCCTTGTCTCACGGGGCCACTAGACGCTCCCTGCAGGAGGGCCTGTGTTCGGAAAGCAGTGACTGGCTCTCATCTGCCTCCCCTAGCCCTATGGGAAGTCTTCCCGGCAATGCCCTCCGTGCCCCGGGCTCCTGGGTTTCTGAGGAACAGTGGTGAGAACGGGGTTTCTGACTCCCAGGTTACCTAAGAGAAAGCAGAGCAAAACGTACAGGGCACGTATCTGAGCGAGTATCCGGTCAGGATCCCGTTGGGGTGCTCCGGGTGGTCCCACTCCAGGTTGATTGTCTGTGGGTTGGGCTGCCGGACGCGGAAGCGCCTGGGGGCACTGGGCACTTGGGGAAGGAGAAGAGAGTGGGGGAGATGAGGGAAGAGAGAGGGGTGGGCGGGGTGAGGAGAGTGAAACAAAGCACAGTGTGAAGGCACTGGTCTTGGCAACCCCCTGCGGGACAGTGTCCAAGCCGGAGCCCATCGTCACCCCAGACGGTGTTCCCCCGGTTCAGGACGAGCGTGGCTCAGGCTGTCTCAAGGGAGGGAGTGAATCTAGGGTTCCCATAGCAACCACCCTGGATCCAGCACACCAGGCTCCGATGCTGCAGACCCCTCCAGGAGGGAAGGAACTGTCCCTGTTCCTACAGAGGCTGCCGCTCCTACTCCTCGGACCAGAATCCTCACCTCCAGGTCCAAGCAGCAGGCCCGAGCCTCTGCGCTGAGCATGCTGGGTTCAGGGACAGAGGACAGAAAGTCAAGAAGGAGCATGTGGACAGGTAAAGGAGGGGTGCTGGGGAGACGGTGATAGTAAGAACCAAAACAAGGAGGAGGGAAGAGAGGAAGAAAGAAAACAAGAGGAGCCCTGGCCGGTTGCTCAGTGGTTAGAGCATTGTCCTGATACACCAAGGTTGTAGGCTGGTCCCTGGTCAGGGCACATACAAGACACAACTAATGGCCCTGGCCGGTGTGCTCAGTGGTTAGACCATCAGCCCTTGCACCGAAGGGTTGCAGGTTCGATTCCCAGTCAAGGGTGCTTACCTGCGTTGCAGGTTCAATCCCCAGCCCAGGTTGGGGTTATGCAGGAGGCAATCGATTGATGTCTCTCTCACATGGATGTTTCTCTCTCTCCCTCTCCTTCCCTCTCACACTCTCTAAAAATCAATGGAAAAAATATATCCTTGGGTGAGGATTAATTTTAAAAAAATCAACTAATAAATACATAAATAAGTGGAACAACAAACCAATGTTTCTCTCTTCCTCGCTAAAATTCATAAATAGCTCTGGCTGGTTTGGCTCAGCAGTTAGAGCGATGGCCCACAGACCAAAGAGTTGTGGGTTTGACTCCAGTCAAGGGCACGTACCTCAGTTGCAGTTTGGCCCCCAGCCCCGGTTGGGATCGTGCGGGAGGCAACCAGTAGGTGTATCTCTCTCACGTCCATGTTTCTCTCTCTCCCTCTCCCTTCCTCCCACTCTACCTGAAAATCAATGGAAAAATATCCTTGGGCGAGGATTAAAAAATAATCATAAAATTAATAAATAAAGAAATAAAAGAAAACAAGAGAAAGTCGAGAGAGGAGGAAGAGAAGGGAAAATAACAGTTAAGGAGGGAGGGAGGAGAACAGAAACGGTTGAAGCCAAGTGCCAAGTTGCTAAGAGAGGAGAGGTGAGAACAGGAAATGAACGCGCGACTTTGCGGATGCCTGTCTCCCAGGACCGGGGCAACCACGAACCTGCAGAAGGCAGGCGCCCTCTGCAGGGCCCCAGCGCCCAGGGGCCACCAATCCCAAGGGCGGCTTCTTGACTGCAGTAGTGAGAGCGCTGTAGGTCCTGGTGCTGGTACAGACCAGCTGCCGCCTGGCAGTCAGGGTGACTGTGCCCCCCTCAGGAGCAGGCAGGCAGCCAGGCTCCCGCGTGCCTGGACGTCAGTCGGCACAGCCCTTCCGGAATTAGGTCATCGGACCACACAAGTGTCTCTTGAGGTGCAACCTCATCGGGGCCGGCCAACGAGGTGACAGTGCCGTGTGGGAATGATGGGAGCTGCTCAGCTCCAGGTCACCAGCTCCTTGAGGTCATGCCGAGGTCAACGCGGGCAGTCCGTGCCAAGCCACCGTGGAGCGCTCCCGGTCCACCGGAACGCGGTACCCTTGTCCTGCCCTCCCCGAGAGCTGCAGGTCAGACCTACCTCCTTCCGGGGTGGTGAACTCCTTGGTCTCACTGCGAGGCCCATCACCTCTCCCATTGACCACCACCATCTCCAGCTTGTAGTTGCTGTAGGGAAAGAGGCGGGACACCACACCCCGGAGGCGGTCGCCAGAGAAGCTGGCTTGCTGTCTCTTCTGAGACACCCACAGGCTCTTCAGTAAGCTGCTCTCCCTCCAGTAGTAGGCCTTCAGGACAGAGGCAGCCGGTGAGGGGACGGTGAGCAGAGCGGGTTAGTTGTTAGTGATGGTGGGGGTGACCGGTCTTCCCTTTGCTTGTCACAGGCTCCAAACCCCTGATGAGCAGCTTATCAGCCCCACACAGGGCTGGGGAAGAGGCCTCCCAGCCCCATTCATTAGCCACTACTGAGCATGCACTGATGTCAAACAAGAGAGGTTTGGGGTTTCAGTCGCCTCTCTGGAGAAGACGCCAGCTGGCCAGACCCATGGCTGTGCTGCTCCATCATGAGCCCAATTTCCAAGCTGGGGACCAGGCTGCCCAGGGAGTTGGTGCCAAACCACAAACGTAAGCCCAGGATCCAGGCGCGGAAAGCTGTCCTGCGCTCAGCGCCTCCCCTCGAGTTGATTAGTTGGGTTGAAGACGGGCAGCGGGGAGCGGTGGAAAGTATGGTTTACCCCCAGAAGTCTGAATGTGAGAAAGGGCTGCTTAAACCCTTCGACGTCCAAGTTCCTTTCAGTATTGTTTGAAGGCCTTTGGAATGGGATGGACGTGCGTCCAGGTCAGCGAGCTGCCAGGCTGCCTGGAGGCACGAGCTTGGAGGGGCGGCCTAGGGGAGGTGGCAGTGTCAGAGGTGAGGCTGACAGACGGTGCCACGAGGTCTGATTAGCGGTGGGTAAGAAGCCAGGTCCGGCTGCCACACCAACATCACCTAGGCCTCCAACGGCAAGGTAAGGAGGAAATCCAGACTTAAGAGGGACCCCGAAAACTGCAGATTTTAGCTAGAAAATCTCCAGGCAAGTAGGTTAAGGGTGCAAGCCAACTGTTAGGGGAGGCCTCATTCAAGGGTATACATCATCTTGCCTGCCTTCCCCCACTTACAAATTCATTTCCTAAGAAGAGACTGGCCCCCTCCATTCTACCCCTAACAGTCCACCAGCTCGATGACCTTAGAGGTCACAGAACCTGTTAGCCTATGGCTGCAGCCTCCTGCACTTCCCGGGCAACTTTTAAGTAGAGCTACTCATGGGGAGAGCCTTGCATACCCTGGGAGTTCTCTCCCTTTTCCCCAACTCAGCTCACCCTCTCAGAGAAGAGGGGAGATTGAGCAGAGACGCTCACAGGCCGGACGACCAGGAGAAGCCAAGAGCCTGGGGGATCCATATGCTGGAAAACCTGGAGTTGGCGGCAACAGGGAAGGCCTTTGTACCCCAAAGTGGTTACGTCTGTTAGTGGGTGCTTCCCAGAAGCAGGCCCGGGAGGTAAGCAGCCCGGCGGGGACCATTAGGAGCAGGCAGGGTGTAGCTTGGTGGTGCTTCGGCAGAGCTGGAGGCGCGGTCACGCGCATGAGCGTGGTGCACTGTGCAGCATCCACGCAGATCCGCCACTCTCGCGTGACTTCCCGCTGAGCAGACTCTCAGCACATCCGTGGTAGGACACATCTGGGGGTGTGTGTCCATATACACGTATCTGAGTGTAATTTGAGGAGCTAACCCTAGACGTCATCTTCTTGAATCCATTCTGGATTCAGCAGCTACCCCTCGGACCCCTTCCGAATACCTCAAGGCCTGCACCTGCTACCCCCTGGCCCTGGTTATGGAACTGGGTGGTTAGGCGGGGCTGGGAGCTGGCTTCCTCACTCGGTACTCTCTGAGCTGGCCCTGGACCGTGTCGGGGTAGACTCGGTTCCACTGAAGGCTGATGGCTGTGCTGTTCAGGACGCGGATTTTAACGTCAGTGGGTGCAGCCCTGGGATCTGCAATGTGTTGGGACAGAGAGCAGGTTATGCTGGCACGGCTGGCCCCAGGACCCCAAGTCCCCTCGACGTGGTGTCTGCTGGCCATACCTCCACCCCACTCTGGGCCCGGGGTGCACCCTGAGGGCAGGGGCCATGGGGAAGGCTCAGAACAAAACGGTGGCAGTCCAGGTAGGAGGGCAATTATTTGCTACCTCACACGTGGCATAGTCTTTGTTAGCCCCTCCACTCCGTTCCCCACCCTTCCACCCTGCTGCGCGGCCCAGGAGGCCACCCCTTCCGACTGCGTCCTCTGGGCTCCCTGGTTCTCAGGTTTCCGGATGGGTCTGCCCAACGGGAATCACCAACAGGAGGTCCTGAGGCAGCAGGAGAGGTAGCTATTCCCCGGCTGCCTGTTTGCAGGGCGAGGACGGGCGGCGCTGCATTCTTCTGCCCAAGGCTATTGCTCCGGTGGGTGTCCCTCGATGGCATGGTGACGCGCCATCCCCTGCCCCTTCACGGCTCAGAGTCCTCCTCTGCTGCAGCAGCCCTCCAGGTGGGTCACCACCCCTTGCTGCTGTCCCTCTATCCCTGTGCTCATGTTGGAAACAGTCAGCTTTGACTGGCATTTGTTTACTGCCAGAAAACAGTACCACCCGACTAAAGGCGCTGACTACAGGCACCCTGCCCATGACTGCCGGGAAAAGGAGGGCCACTCCCTCCCCGATAACTGACGCCTGCCCCCCTTCTCCATTCCGCTGCAGACGCAGTTCTGCCCCATCCCCTCCGCCCATCACAGCAGGGGCCACAGGGTACAGATCAATGGAACTACGGGGCAGTCCATGAAGTTCGCGACCGGATGTCTCACACCCACCATCCAGTAGTCTCCTGTCCAGAAGTGTCTGTCACCATGGTGATGAGGACAGAGGGCCTGCTGACCCCCTCTGCTTATCTCCCAAGCGGGTTCGATTCATAATCACCTCCAGAAAAGTGGGGCACAGGGCCCAACCCTCACTTCTTTGCGTCTCACTGTTACAAACATTACCAGCCCCACTCCTGACTCCAGGCTCGGGGCCCTTCCCAAAGTCATTTTCGGCCTGCTCGCGGATCTCATAGGGCACTGTGACTGCTCCTCCCTAAGACCCTCCCCCTCCCTTTCGGGTACCCCATGCTCTTTTAGATCAGATCAGAGCCAGACCCCTGGGGAATGAATCACCCTGACGCAGAGGGGCTCTGCTCCGCTGACCCTCCTGCTGTGCTAGGGACAAAGAAGCCACCCCAGTCTGGGAACCCAGGCACATACTTTCACACACATGTCTAGATAGAATCTTGCCGATTCACCCAGTGCAAGCCTTAAAGAACTTCTCTTTTTATGCTCAGTTCAAGGGCCAGGGGCATCACTAGGGATGCTGGCAGGTGGCTGGTCCGGTGCTTCCAGTCTGGGGCCCTGCAGACCTTCTGCATCCCTGCAGACTTCCCCTTGGGAGCCTGGGGAGGGGTCTGGCTTCTGGCCCTGCTTCCTGTGGAGGAGCTAACGGCTCTTTGGGATGCACAGTCCTGAAGGCTTTCTTGGCGCAGCAAGGACTGGAAAGAAGGTGGAGCAGAAGGCCTGGGTTCTGTTTTCACACCTGACATTTGCTATCGTGTCATATCGGTGAGTTTTCCTTAGCAGGGCCTCTGTTTCCACATCCACAAGACGAGAGTCCTGGACTAAGTGATGGCGGTCAGTCATTTTAACTCGTGTTCCGATGCTGCTTCCGCTCCTGGCATTATCAGGGCCCCTCTGTTATCACGCAGGCCACCGCAGGGCATTTCTCTTTCCTGAGAACTAGCGGTCCTCCCAGGATGTTCTTGGAAGTCCCACGACCCACCCCAAGGTTCCTAGCCTGTGAGGGTGGCCCTTGGGCCGTCTAGCTGGGAGGTCCTGGTGGGAGAGAGGGAGAAGGTACTCACAATCTTCTCCGGAGTAACCGATGACCGTGTCCGGCTCGGGGCCCTTCCCAAAGTCATTCTCGGCCTGCACGCGGATCTCGTAGGGCACGTAGACAGGGGTCTGCCCCACCACGTAGCGGGAGCCCCACACTGTGGCGTTGTTCCAGGTCTCCCGGGTCTCTCTCCGCCGCCACTTGACGATGTAGCGCAGGTTGGGGCCAAAGGCGGAGGTGGCATTCATGGGCTGAGCAGGGAGAGACAGAGGGCAGAGGTGGAGGGGGCAGACCCACCTACAACTTGCCCTCTCCTTCTACTCCGAGTGCCCCTCCCGATATGCCGCATGCGGACCAGCCCCCACCTCTCACCGAGTCCTGTGAACCCAGCAGCATGTAGATTTTCTGTGACAAAGGCGGCACCCAAGACCTGGTCCTGTGACTCCCACAGGTACCAGCGCATATGAATCCAGGCATGTCTGTTCCGCCCTTCCCGACAGGGCAGCGTCCTCTAAGCGCGGGTGGAACCCTGTTCCAGGGAGCAGTGCCCTGGAGCCCACAGGACGGGGCGTGGACCACGAACCGACCGGGTACAGTCCTGAAGATGTGCCCGGAGTCTGGGACACCAGGCCCTCAGCAGGCGGGGTGGCCTGGACTCCAGACACCCAGCGTCCTGTTTCCATGACTCACGGCAACAGCACAGACGTTGTAACGGTCCAGTGGCCGAGTTTACATCTCTCGGGCTTGGGAGTGGTTGGGGGAAAGTCATTTGGAGGTGACACGTCCCGTTTTGATTCGGAAAATGTAGTCAGTGAGCCAAAAAGGAAGATGGGAGTTTTCAGTCTGGCCTGGAGTTATCTAGTCCACTCCTGGACTAAGAGAAGGTCTCCGGTGAAAACGTCACAGCTGCTGGCCTCTCCGTAAAGGGACTCAGAGCACCCCAAAGCGAGCGCTGGGGTGCATGCCAAATCTTTCCCAGAGTCCAACCTCAGTCCCTCCTTCTTCTAAAGAAGTCCATTTTAGCCCAGCCGGTGTGGCTCAGTGGCTGAGCATCGACCCATGCACCAAGAGGTCGCTGGTTCGATTCCTGGTCAGGGCACATGCCCAGGTTGTGGGCCCGATCCCCAGTGGGGGGCATGCAGGAGGCGGTCAATTGATGTTCTCTCTCATCAATGCTTCCATCTCCCTCTCCCTCTCCCTGCCTTTCTCTCTAAAATAAGTCAGGAAAAAAACAATTAAAGAAAAAGAAGTCCATTTTATTTTGCTGCTTCTCTCTCTGATTTTGCCAGACTGCCACCAGTCACCTCTGCTCCTCTCTCCTGTCTTAAATCTTGTCTAGACACACCCCCGCTTGGTTTCTGGGTGCTCAGCGCAGAGAAGAGGGGCCACTAAACCAGCCAGGTTGCCGGAGCCACCCTGTGGCCTTGGGTGCCAGGGGAATACGGGGCCCGGGTGCGGGCCGCCGGCCTTCAGGCGGGGCCGGAGGGACACTCACCGTCCACGTGATCTCCATGTTGTTCTTTCTGCTCCCCTCGCCTTTCACGTCGCTGGGATTGGACTCAGGTGCTGGAACCAAATCGACAAAGTTCAGGTCCCATCTGTGCCCGACCAGGCATGGGAGCAACCTCTGCCCTCCCACGACCGGTCTCTGCTCTGCTCGCCCTAAGGGTCTCTCTGCCTATGTCTCAGGGGCAACGGGGCTCGCCCTGCCGTTTCTCACGCGTGTGGTGCGCCTTCCCCGCTAAGAGTGACCCCCCGCCCCGAAGCAGGGCTCATTTCTTTTCCATTTTAATCCCTGACCAGACAGATTTATCATGAGGTTTTTCACACCATAGATGGTCATAGAGCCAACTCATTGTGGATTATCCACTAAATACGTTTAACAGCAGGCTGGTGTATCCTCGGCATTGAACATTTTGGGGGGATGTCAATGAGCTGGTATGATGTCAGAAATCTAACTATTACCCAGGAAAAGAGATCTGATAGCAGACCAGATTGCATATTTCTGCTGCGAATCTTTGCCATGGCTCTTCCCCCTAACGCAGACCACCAAGAACTACTAAAGACATCAGTAGTAATAAAAATGACAGTTACCATTTATTGAGTGCGTACTGTATGCCGGGCATGGTGGTAAGTACTTGGATCGCATTTCAAATGTGATCCTCACAACAGCCGCAGCTGGCGGCGTGAGCATTCTGGTTCCCAGAGGCGGAAGCCCGGCTTGGAGAGCGTAGGTAACCCACATTGTGTGGCTGGGGCTGGGGACCCGGTTTGAGCTCAGTCCTGGTTCTGGCGCCTTCTGTCGGCCCCCAGGTACTCACCTGCCCCGCTGGTTCTGTAGCGCTCGGACGGGAGGCTGGGGTGGCTGCTGCCCACCTCGTTGACAGCGATGACCCGGAACTGGTAGTTGACGTACGGGGACAGCTGGAGGACGGCCGAGTTGACACTGCCCGGAAACTTGGAGTGGTCATGCCAGACCCCTGGCTGGAACTGGTCCTCTTCAAACTGGACGACATAGTCTGGGTGGGCGAGGAAGACAGAGCTGTTTCAGGACCCGAGTGAGCAGACTTGCGCCCCAAAAGCACTCCCCCCAGGGGTCCACGGGTCTTCGTGATCCCCCTCGGGGGACAAAGGCACAGGGGGAATTCCTAGAAGACACTGAAGGGGAAACCCAGGCTTCCGTGGGCTCTGTGAACAGCCCGGGGTCAAGTGAGGCAGCGGGGGAGCCAGAAACCAGGGCAAGGCCACTCTGCGGCCACTGCCGCCCCTCTTCCCTGGGTGGCGCCGGGCCCGGCTGACCTGTGATGGGGCTGTTGTTGTCGTCCCCTGGGATCCAGGTCAGCCTCACACTCCTCTCGGCCAGGTCCGTGAGCTCCAGGTCCCGGGGTCGGTCTGGCCGTCCTGGTGACAGAGGGAGAAGACACCAAGCGGGGCTCCCGAGTCAGAGCCGGTCCCTGCGCTGGGCCCAGCCCTGGGCACCCCGTGGACAGGCCCCTGGCGGCCGAGGTCAGCACAGCAGGTACCTCCCAGCCTGCCCTGGAGGGTCGCCCAGGAGCCCCCCTCCCCTCCGGGCTTCAAGGCAGCACCAAGAGGAGCCTCCAGTTCCACCCCCCCAAGAGTATCAAAGGATGCGGGCACAGAGAGAGAACTCGGGCCAACCCACCCCATCTCTGCGGGTGGTCGTAGCAGGCAAGCATTTAGAAACGCTTTTCACTAGACGCGTGTTCATAACATGTAGGAAAGGCAGAGAGGAAGTGTGGAGTTTTGTCATTTCTCATGGTAATTCTTTTCTAATCTGCATGTCACGGCTGTGAGGGAAGGAGCCAGAGGTGCTTGGAGCCCGGAGCGGGGCAGACAGGTCCAGGGAGTGGACGAGACAGAGGGGCCCAGGCCAGGGGAGCCGGCTTCCTAACAGCAGAGAGGCAGCGCCTTCTGGGCCTGGGCTCGCTGGATCCCCTCGCTGGGCGTCAGTGCCATCCTGGCCAGGGGATGAAGCTGCCCTGCACTGACTGGTGGGGGCAGGATAGTGTTCCCCCTATATTGCACCTTGAACCAGCTCTTTCCACACATTGGCCGATTACTGGAAGAATCTGGAAGGTGAGTCACACGGACTCACATTTGTGTGCGCACAGACTGTCCGTAAATGTGGGCCCACAGAGAACTCAAAGCGTGGGCTCTCCTGGCTGGGTCACACATGTCGGAGGCCACGGAAGAGAACAGACCACCCACGGGTGTGGCGAGTGGCCGGAGGAAAGGGGCTGGGTGAAAATGGCAGCCAAGGACTCGCAGCTCAACCTGCCAAGGAGCCGGTCGCCGGAGCAGGGCCGACGCTCAGGAAGTGGCCGTGAGCACTTGAAGGAGCCGATTGGGCAGGGAGTGGGGAGTGTGACCGGCGGCCCACACAGCACATCCTGGCCGAAGCCTTCTTCCCTTAGACCCCCCGCCCCGAGCCTAGCGAGGGTGTGGCGAGGGTCCCAATTAGTATGAATTACCTTTGGGCAGGGCAGCCAAACGGTTAGTTGGAGTGGTCTGATCAGCTGTAAAGGTAAGACGGGTTATCCAGGTTAGCAGGTTATCTGGGGTTAGAGGTGTTCTAGGAGGGTGGGGCAGGCAGCCGAGGCTGGAAGTCTGCCCCGTGACCTGTTCCTGGCACAGCTTCGCCCTCCCGTCCACAGATGGCCCCTCACTCCCGAGTTTCCTTCCCACGTCTCCTCCATCTCCTCCTGTCCCAGCGCAGCTATCACTCCTGGGCCCCCATCTCCTGCAACCCTGCACCCCGCTGCGGAAGGGACAGGGATGGCAGCAGACAGAGGACGGTGGTGAGGAACCACGCGCCTTCCCCAGGTTTGGGATGGCTCAGGGTTCTCGGCTCGCCCGGATGAGGGGTCCCCTGCTCAGCGCACAGTGCCCTGGGATCCCATCAAGAAGCAGAGGGCAGGGAGCGAGGCAAGCAGAGGTGTTGGCAGGACAAACACAACATCCAGTCTTGCTTCAGTGACAGATTGTTTTAATGAACTTAGTGGTTTAGAGTTAGCTGTGAAGTTGGTGAAAATGACCCCGACAAGAACCCCTGGCCCCTTCCCGCTCTCATGCAGGTGAGAACTGGGGAGTTAATCATCCTACAAGGAGGCGAGTCATCCAGCACAGCCTGTGTGCAAAGGAGCAGCTTCCCATCCCTGCTCACAGGGCAGGAGGCCGCCACACCGGGCCGGCCCACGGGCCGCAGACCGTCCAGGGCCCACGCTTCTCTGCTGCAGGAAGGGGGAGGAGGTCAGTGCCCTGGGCAGTGGCAGTTACCTAGCACAGTGAGGTAGGCCTTGGCCAGGTCCTGGTCCAGCTCGGTGCTGGCGATGCACGTGTAACTGCCCTGGTCCCGCTCGGCCACACCGAAGATGGTCAGGGAGTCGTCTTCCTTCTTCATCCTGCAAAGGCACCGGAGGGGTTGGGAGGAGGGCTCGCGGGGGGAGTGGGGAAGAGGCGACGGGGTGCCAGGCACTGCCTGCTGCTTTCCCCTGGGACGAGGGCGGTGAGTCAGGGACGGGAAGCCTCACAGGCGGGGCTGGGCAGCCACAGCCCTCCTAGGGGACATGAGGCTCCATCTCGATGCTTCGGGACAGACAGGGCCTTCAACAGCACGTATGGTGCTTAATAAAAGGGAAAGGAACATGGGTGAGCGGAGCATGGCCCTGAGACACTTCACTGTCCTCAAACGACTGGCTGTGCTCTGTGCCTTCCCTGTGCTGGGCTCCCCTCCAGACTAGAGCACAGTCGGACCCACCCCCAAAAGGCAGATGGAGACCCCTCCTCTTCCCATACTCCAGCTCTATCTTCAGCCCAGACGGGTCTCTGCGCCCGTGAACCGCCTCCCATAGAGGGAGGGCACCAGAGAGCGGGCAGGCTTTGAGCACCAAGTGTGGAGTGTCTGCACCTGCCCCAGGGTGCATCCCCTGCCACAAAACCAGACGGTCGCCGGAAACAGCTGGTCCCTGTGGCCAACCTCAGGGCCCCTCAGGGGTGAAAGAGAATAGAGCAAGGAGCCCTGTGGAAGGAGCCCGGGACTCACTGCACGTCAGAAACACCTGTGGGGACGTGTGACCACTATCAGGGCCTGAACCCTCCCCCAGCACAATTAAATCCGAATTTGGGACGAGGAAGTGGGCCGGTTTGGGTCTAGTGAAAGTGTCCCAAGTCCAACAGGGGCTGAGAACCACACTAACCAGAGTGGTCCTAGTGGGCTCAGGCCACCCCTGCCCTCTGCTGGACAACAGGGGTGCTGCAGGCAGGCCTGAAGATGGGGCTGTGATGCAGAAGGGGAGGAAGGGAGAGGGTCAAAACAAAGAGAGGAGGAAAAGAGGAGGAGTGAGGGGAGAGAAATGGAGAGACAAAGGAGTTGGACAGAGAAGAAAAGAGAAGCAGAGAGCTGATGGGAGAGAGGGAGAAGAATGCAGGGTGGGGTTCTCCCCTGAGCTGGGGGGCATCACTGAGGCCATCCTGCCCAAGTCAGCAGCTGCTTGGTGACATGCATGACACAGGTTCTTCAGTGTGTCGAGCAAGGGAAAGGGAAGGAGCCCCAGACCAGCAGCAGGAAGCGATCAGGTAGGAGCGGAGACCTGTTCCCGATGTAGAGCGGCTCATCGTCCTTCAGCCAGGAGACCGTGAGTTTCAGGGAGGGGTCATGCTTGACCCGACACTCCAGCTGCACTGTGGTTCCCCTTTTGACAATCTGGTCCTCTGGCATCCGGTAGATCCTGGTGGGGTCTGTGGAGAAACCCAGGGTGCTTATCACTGACACGTTCTCTGCCCATTATCCCAGCACAGACCCTGCAATACATGCACAACCTCAAGGTTAACCCGACCAAGGGAGGTGGCAAAAATAGCATCCCATTGTGTGAATGGGGGAAGCCTGGCGTGGGCGATCCCAAATAGTAAACAATCCCCAAATCCTTTCCATCTGGCTCGGCAAGATATGATGCAGTGCCTGGGGTGGTGATGGGAGCAGGTGTGGGTAGGTTTCCCTTCCTAATGCCATCTGGACCAGGCTGATAATGACTCAGTGTTCCCAGCACCCAAACCAGCTGGCCACTGTGGAGGACACACAGACCCACTGTGGGTGTCCCACTGGGGATTAAACATGAGGTGTGTGCGGATAACTGGGACGAGACAGCTTCCCTCCCCAGCTCCACCCGCCCTGCAGCTACCAACCAGCTCCTTTACCTTTGACCTCCAGGCGGACCTGGTTTTCCGCTTTGCCCAGGATGTTGGTGGCGACACAAGTGTAGATGCCTTGGTCCTCTTTGCGGATCATCTTGATTTCCAGACTGCCGTTCTCGTAGACGTGGTAGTTGCCACCATCCAGGTTGCTTCCTTGCCCATTCTTAAACCTCACAACACAGCAGCAGAACACACAGCATACTGAGAAAGGGCCGGCCCAAGGCGGGCGCAACCGCTCAAGACAGTGTGGGCAGTAGAAGGAGCCCCACGCTGGAACCCGAAGCCCTTATCCTCGTAGGGTCTGCCTCCAACCACTGCGCAGCCCCGCGAAGTTCCTGCCCCTCCCTGGGCTGTTTCCTTCCCTGCCCAAGGGGGTCGACCGAGCGGATCTGCCAACTTTCTCCCCGCTTGGGCCCTCAAGGTTCCCAGGTTTTGCTAAATACCTAGTATGGGCCAGACAGGACTGAAAAGGGTGAGACAGGTGACCCTTGTTGGGGAACCCTGGACGCCTGGAGCTTACCATCGGAGCGTGGGGATGGGGGACCCAAAGAAGGGGCAGTCCAGCCGTGTCCGGTTGTACAGGATCACCCGGATGAGCTGGTTCCGTGGCGACAGCATCCGGGGCGGCACATCTGCAATCCCCAGACAAGCGACCTTGGGTGGGGCGTCTCACTGGCCCCCCTCTGTGCCCCCGGTCTCTCCGTGCAGCAGCTTGCCACGTGCTGACGTTCCCTCCCCCATGCACGGGTCTCCTTTAAACAGCCTCTAAGGCTCAGGTGAGGGAGGAGGAAGCGTTCCCGTTCTCAGCCTACGCTCTTTCCAATCCACTTCTGCAAAGCATTTCCCCAAATCATCCAGCGGGTTCTGTACCCACCCCTCCCATGGCCCCCTGCTCCAGGAGTGCTGCGAGTGTCCTCAGAACCGGTCCCCACTCTGCGACCCACGGGGACCTGGGCGAGCCAGCGTGGCCACGCCAGGGAGACAGACAGCCCCGCTCTGCCTCAGCAGGGGCAGGAGGGACCGCAGCTGACTTCCAGCGGGGAATTCGCTCTGTCTGCGTGCCCAGCTCTGTGGCTCAGTCCTCCCTCCTTCCCACAAATCTCATCCTCAGCCTCCATGCTGCTCCCGCCAGCCTGGCTGGTCTCCGGAGAAGAACGTGCGCCTATGACATGACCACCCAACAGGCAGCCTGCGGGGAGCGGACGGGATACTCACCCAGCACGCTGACAAAGGCGTTGGCCAGCAGGTAGCCGTGCTCGTTGGAGGTGTTGCACTGGTACACTGCCCTGCTGCTGATCTGGGTGTCCCGGAAGATGATGGTGTCCCCGGCCACCTCTCGGTTTGGGTTGGGGGGTGCCGCTGCAGAGAGGAAAGATGCTTCTGGTGAGAAATGGGGGAGCGCAGGTGCAGGGAACCTGGGCTCTGCCCAGGGCTCCCCAGCAGGACTGGGTGTCACGGAAGCAGCAACACTGGGTGGCTGGCAGAAGACCCAGCTTCTGTCCCCCCCACTGCGCGGCTGGGTGACGTGGGGTCCGTCATTGAACCCACTGGAGTTTACTTCGCAGTCTGTGCAGTGGGGCTGTGATCGCCTCCTGTGGCACACGCTGTGGCAGCAGAAAGGGGTCTGAATTCTGACTACTTCCTGCATCAGTCTCCTTGTGGGCAGAGGGGGGATAACCGTGACCTTGTGGGGCCTATACAAGGATGACCTGAGCTGTTATGCAGGTGTGAGTCCTTGGCAGAGGGCCCAGCCCACACTGATAGTTACTGTGGTTATTATTTTAATCTACTATGCATATGCTTAAGTATGTTTTGAAAAGGACAAAGCACTATGGAACCGGAGAGGGTCTGTCACTGGCCTGTCGCTTTCCCATCCTCTGAACAGAGCATTCTGCAGACACTGACAGAATTAAACCTGAAGGCTGGTGCCTGCTAAACACCACGCCAGTCCTCGTATCTGCCAAGCCACCCGGTGGCCCCAAGAAAGGTGTCCTGAGCTCGGAAAGCACAGGTGGATGGGGCTGGGACCCCGGGCACATCGATGTCTTTCTGGGCCTCATTTCCTTCATCTGTTGAGTGGGAGGAATTATTCCCACCACTCCCCTATCTAAGGAGGGTTAAGAGAAATGTACAAGTAAACGTTTTCTATAAATGAAACATACGGCAACATTTCTCATCTTTCATCACCGGAAGGTGACTTTCCTCTGTAAGATTCCCGGACTGGGCCAGATGACTGGGCTTACATGGTCCGTGGACTCGTCGGATCACTCAGACCTACAGCGGCAGTCGGCGAGGAGCACGCAGGGTCCGGCCCCGTGGATGCCACTCCACAGATACCACGTCTGAGCCCAGAACCGGGGAATCAGCAGACGGTAAACGAAGACGCGGTCGACATCCTTATCACCCTTCCCCCCTCCGCACAAAGGCCCGAGGAGGGCGATGCCAGGGACGTCAACGCCGCCTTGCCCAGCAATTCTCATGGACCAACTTCCCTCCCAGTCACTCCGCATAGGTGACAGGTGACTTGCCCAGGTCCCAGGCTCAGCTGCAAGTCCTGGGCACTGTGAGGTGTGAGCCTTCGTCTGCCTGGCGTCCCAAGGCTGCCAGGGTGGGGAGAGCCAGCGGCAGAGCGCAGGCATGTCCCCGCCTCTGCCGTGTCCAGGGGGAGGACAGCCACGGGTGCTAGATGGTGCAGGCATGGTGTGCTCCCGCAGCATCCCAGCCGCACCACGCACCGGCCACGTGACTCGGGCGATTGCCAGCACCGGCAGAGCCCCGTTCCCGCATCTCTAGCGTCTGAGGTTAGAGAGGACAGGGAGGCAGCACCCCGGCAGTGGCTGTGGGCAACACGTGTGGAGAAAGGGGCTCTCTCACCCTCTCCTCCGCCTGCCCCCGGCCCCTCCAATGCTGCTCTTCCGTTCGGCGCTGAGTTCTCTCCATCTGTTTTTTGGCCCCCCTGGCTGACATCACCGTTTACATGTCCTCTGACCCCTTAGAGAAGGCAGTGTCAGGACATTTAACCAGTAAAGGCACCCGGAGAGAACATGATGTGAAAACTTGACCAAGACCTCTGGCTGGAAGGGGCCTTGGACTCCCTCACTCCAGCCATCCGGGCAGGACGACATCTCCCCAAAGTCTGGGCACACTGAGTGACTGCAGTCGTGCGTCTGTTCTCATGGGGGTTCTGTCTCACACCCTCAGCAGAGCGGGACCTGGGCAACCAACTACGGGTTACTGAGCTCAACTCTGCCTTCCAAGCTCCAGACATCACTCAGAGTCCGAACCCCAGGAGATGCAGCCGCAGACCCCCACCTTGACCGGGACTCTGCAGTTGTGAAGGGCACAAAGCAGAGAGTAATGAAAAAACAAGGGAGCAGAAATCCCCTAAACAAAGAAAAACAACCACGGGCTCCTGTCCTCTCATGCGGACACGTGGCAGGTTTCCTGCCCCTTGAGGTGGCTGCCCCCTCCCTTCCGGGACCACCAGGGCTGCCCGCAGGGAGCGCTCAGGAGCCTTGGGGGCAGAGAGAGCAGCGTCAGGCCAGACGATGGTTCGTTACTCACACTGCAGAGGCTCCCCGTTCACCATCCACTGGACAGTGGGCTTGGGGTTCCCGTTGGCTCGACACACCAGCCTCCCGTCCTCGCCAGGGGCCAGGATGAGGTTCTTGGGCTCGTCCAGCCAGTAGGGAGCAGCTGGAAGACAAGGGCAGCACAGGCAGGGAGTCAGACGGCACGGGGCGGGCAGGAGAAACCAGACGGACTTCCTCTAGGAAGGCAGGAGCCTCTGAGGGCCGGCCCCAGCCCCTCGCCACGGCCCAGGGCCATCCTCACGGGGGGACGCGTCCAGCCTGCCTGTGGCCAACCAGAGACGCTGACCTGCCTATTTCAAGTTCACAGACCAAGTGCTCTAACCTGGGCTGCTCGTGACGGGTCCCTGAAGAGCTTTTAACGAACACGGACGCCAAGGCCCATCTCAGACCTACTGAGTCGGAATCCTCGGGGGGCTCCGTGTGGACGCTTTCAGAGGCCCACAGGTGACCATGACCGCACGCAAGGGCCCCAGCAGGGGAGGTGGGAGGCGGGCCTGGACGTGCACCCTCCCGGGCACTGAGGCTAGGCTAGAGCAGAGCTCACAGCTGGCCACGGCTCTGAACCGGAGAATTCCAGATACGTGGATTTTTCTGAGAAGAGGGTTCTTTGGATCAAAGCTCTTCATACTCCCCAAAAGATTAAGAACCTCTGGGTTGAGTGTAGCGCCAAAACCAAGGTCACAAGCTCAACTGAGTACTAAGGACGTCCTTGCACTGTGGGGTCAGACTTCATGATCCCAATCACTCCTGCGGCCCCACTGAGGAGCAACTGGGAGGGGCGCCCCAGCACCCATGGCTGGGACCCATAAAGGGACGTGTCCTGGGGCTTACCACAGTGCAGGGGGCCAGCTACACTCTCAGGGGAGGGACGTGGTTTTTACAAAGATAGTTTGGGCCATGGGGACTCTCCCTCTTTAAAAAGAACGAAGCACAGCACGCAGACAGCACAGGGAGAAGACGACACACACGAACAGGGATGCGAGATGAAGGATGAAGGTGATGGGTGCGGATCAAACAGAGCATGAGATTCACCTGCTGAGGGAGCCCAGGAGAGGTGGGCGATAGTCAGGGTGATCTTTTCCCCTTAACATCCATCTCTCTCTCTCTCTCTCTCTCTCTCTCTCCCCCCCCCCCCCCGCATCCAGGGGTGACACCATCCCTGAGAGGTCATTGTTGCCGCTGACCAGCGTGTTGGAAGTTTGCCCCAGCCACCCTGCCCCGACCACGCTCAGAGGAAAGGGTGGCCATGGCATCTAGCGCTGGCAAAATCACCATAATGAGAAATACACACGACGTACCCTTTACTCTCACCGAGATCGTGCGCCGGGTGCTGCCCATCTTGTTGGAGGCCAGGCAGAAGTACTCCCCAGAGTCTTCCTCGGAGACGTTGGTGATACGCAGAGCCTTGTTGAAGTTCTCGAACTTGGCCTTGTCAGACGGGAGGTCCCCACCTTTCTTATACCACACGATGTCCGGCGTTGGGCTAGGAGAGGGACCAAGTAGGAAATAGAGGTTTATTACCAACCGCAGCCCTTCTACAAAGCCCAGGACGCCCGGGTGTCCTTCAAGGGTACTTGGGCCCAGAGGACACATGTCCTCACACGGCTGATCTCTTCTACAGAGGGGCTGCTCGGCATGGGGCACCTGAGGGACTTACCTAAGGTCACACACGACCCTGACTCGCACAGCATGCCCTTTCCTCGTGTTCCAGAGAGGCGGCCAGAACGGGACGGAGATGACTATGGTTTGCAACGTCCTCACTAAGGGCTGTCTGCTTCTCTTTTTGCACCCCCAAATGTGGCAAAACACAGCACCGACTCCCTCCCCACCTCCCGGGGGCAGTCGGAAGTGGGGAGCATGTACGTACACCCCAGAGGCGATGCACTCCAGCAGGAGGTCCATGCCACGCAGCACCATCTGACTGCTCGTGCTGCCCTGGGGGTACATGAAGCTGGGGGTTCTCTCTGCAACTCCTCGGGCTGAAATAGGACAGAACAAGCTGGCTGAGCCCCCGGCCCTGGGGGCTGACCCAGATAGGCCAGAACCGACAGGCTAGAAAGAAATGTCATCACGCCTCTGCGTCCCCCGGCCCTCAGAGGCTCCGAGGCTGGACCCTCCCAGCCGCAACCACCCCAGGGCTGGGCGTCATTACGAGAACGTGTTAGGAAGCGTGGGCTCCTGGGCCCCACCGGCACATGTGTGAGCTGCTCTCGGTTCTGAAAGGACCTGCCAGGAGGAGCCAGGTTCCCTCTCAGTCCCCGGGCGTGGGGGAGGGGCTGCCTGAGCAGGGAGGGGTTCATTCTTCGAGCATCTTGCCTGGGACTCCAGAGGCCAACTGGGTGGCCCCTGGGGAGCCCATCTTAGCAGCCGTGGAATAGAGACGGCGCACGTGGGGGCCCCAGGGCAGACAGCCTGCTCTGGGGCCCCGGAGACAAGAGGCTGCGATGGAGTCACAGAGCCCCAGGTGAGCAGTCAGGGGTGCAGGGAGCCTTAGTGATGTCTTCGCAAAGACATGGAGAGAGTTAATGAGCAGAGATGACAGGAAATCACTTCTGGGGCCAAGACCATTCTGCTCTTCACTAATGACTTAGGCAGGGGGCTGGGGAGAAGGGTGTTAATTGGATGTGAGGCACTGCGGGAGGGGAGAGGCAGGTAGCGGCCAAGAGGGAGGTGATCTACGATCCCCCTCGGCTGGGGTAGCTGCAGGGTCTGAAGTTAATGACACGCACAGGTTTGAAGCCAGATGGCCATGGAGATGGACACTGTCAGGGTGGCTGCTTCCTAGTGGGGGGGCCATGCCAGTCTGGGCACACCCCAGCCGCGTGGAGCCCACCACCCGAGCCTCACGGCTGCCTCACAGCTCTTGGTACAGTGCTGTGGAAATGGATGTGATGGAAGGAAGAGGAGCAAGGAGTTTCCAACCAGGACCCAAAGCACAGGGACACCTGCCCAAAGGTGTAGACATAAGTGCATAAGCTGGGCCTACTCGTGGGCTTAATGGTCTTCGGCTCAGCTGGAGAGGGAGAGGCAGGCAGAGCTGCCAGGAGCTGGGAGCCCGCAGAACGCCTGCAGGGAGAACAGAGGCATTTTCTGGGCCAGGCTGTGAACGGATGCTGGCCGAGGGGACACTGGCGTCCCCGAAAGGAGCCGTCGGACTAGCTGGTGCCTGGCTGGGTCAGCGGAGTCCTGTCCTAGAGGCACTCTGCTTCCTTCCATTAGCCGTCCGTCGGGGTGCATGTCGTCGAGGTCTCGTCTGCTTTGTCCTTTTGTCAGGGGAGGAGATGCGGAGACACTCGCAAGGGGAGTTAGGCTGCTGGAACAATACATGGCACATAGCAAGTGTTCACAAACGCCCGTGAATGAATTCAGGGGTGGGAGAGAACAAAAAGAAGGCAATGGTTTACCGGCCCCCCACCATGTCACTTCTCCTTCTGCAGATGTCTTCATCTGTCCCAGCACACACATACACAACGGTGGCTACGGAAGGGGTTAATCCATTATGTGGTTAATGGGTTACCGTCCATCCATCTATAACTCTCGTAGCAACCAGTTCTCAGCACCAAGGAAGCCTGATCCCAAAGCAGCAGCTTCCTCCCACCCATCGTCATGGAATCGCCAAAACGGCAGCACAAGGTCAAGGGCACCATGAGGGGAGGGCGATTTCGAGCAGGAGGCTCCGGTGTCAAGCTGGTGACTATCGAGAGTCGGGGACCCTAGGATTACATAGAAGAGGTCCCGGCTCAGTGGGCACACTGCTCCCCACAAGGACACACTTTGCAGACAGCCACGTGGGACGCTGTGGACACGTGATCCACGCCGCAGCACACAGCACCACAGGCACACGCGGCCAGCGGAGCACTGAGCGTGGGGCGGAGGGAGCGCAGCGTCCCGCTGGACGTGCTGTGACGGTGGAAAGGTTCCAGCAATACTTCACGTGCAGGATGTGGGCTAGCAGCCCGGGAATTATCCCCAAAGGGGAGAAGCTCCTGGGAAACAAGCCAACACTCAAAAATATAGGGAAGAACATCCTAGAGGCCAGAGGTGAAACTTGGGGTCACCATTTGTTAGCCTCCACTCTGGACCCAGCACTGTGCTAGCAACTCTGTCTACATCGTCATGTTCAGTTCTCTCTACAAACCTAGAGGTGTGACCCCCACTTTCAGCAGAGAGAACGGAGGCTCACTAAAGTCAACAGATTCGCCAAGGTCACAGGCAGGTTTTTTTTTAATGGATTCTGGACCATTTAGCACTGAAGCCTTTGTTCTAACATCTATTCTATACTGCACCTCTATCTTTTTTTTATTTAATTTTTTTTTAATCCTCACCTGAGAATATTTTTCTGTTTATCTTCTGATAGAGTAGGAGGAAGGGAGAGAAGGAGAGAGAGAGAGGGAGAGAGAAACATCAACGTGAGAGACACATCGACTGGTTGCCTCCTGCACAACCTGACCAGGGCTGGGGACGAACCGCAGCCGAGGTACGTGCCCTTGACCGGAATCGAACCTGCAACTCCTTGGTCCACAGGCCGGCGCTCTAACCGCTGAGCCAAACTGGCCAGGGCAATATTGCCCCTCTCTTTATTTTTTATTTTATTATTATTATTTTAATCCTCACCTGAGGACGCTTTTGCAGTTATCTTCAGATAGAGTGGAGGGAGAGAGGGAGAAAGAGAGAGAGAGAAACACCGATGTGAGAGAGATATATTAAGTGGTTGCCACCCACACAACCCCAACTGGGGCCGGGGACAAACTGCAACCGAGGTACGTGCCCTTAGCGGGAACCGAACCCAGGACTCTCTGGTTCGTGGGCCGACGCTCTAACCGCTGAGCCAAACCGGCCAGGGCAATATTGCCCCTCTCTTTAAAGATGGATACCTCACTTATCCCTAGAGCTTTGGGAATATGTTTCATGTTCAAACCAAAGAAAAACAAAGTCCAAGGGCAAGAGGTGAAGGAGGAAGCTATTTCTGTCTCCGTGAGCTGCAGCAGTGAAACTCCCACTGTGTTTTCCTCAGACATCATTCCCACTGTCTCAGATAAGATTCCATCTCTCCTTGGTGACTACTGAGTAAACTCGGGCCCAAGCTGAAACTAAGAGGCTCCAAAGGCATCCCATCTGAACTGCTGAGGCCATAAAAAACCTGAAGTCAGGATGATATGAGATATTACGGGACAAGACGGCTGGACCCAAACGGGAGGTTGTGAAGAGATGTGGTCATTTTTATGTAAATCCCTTTTACATAAAAATGAATGAAGGATAGCCCTAGCTGGGAGGCTCACTTGGTTGGAGTGTTCTCCTGGACAGCAAAAGGTTGTGGGTTCAATTCCTGGTCAGGGCACAAACCTAGGTTGCAGGTTCAATTCCCAGTCAGGGTGCGTATGATAGGCAACCGAACAATGTTTCTCTCTCACATTAATGTTTCTCTCTCTTTCCCCCCTTCCCGTCGCTCTAAAAATCAATTAAAACATATCCTCGGATGAGGATTAAAAAAAAGTTGATAAAGGATAATCCAGCTGGTGGCTTTGGTATCCACTTGTCCCAAGGGAAGGGGGCTAAGCAGACCCAGGAAGAGTCTCTGAGACAAAGGTGCTCAGGGGGAAGACGACACCCTCTCATGGATTTAGGAAGAACTTGCATGCGGGCCCGTCTGACCTGGGCCCAAGGGCAGGTGCTGCTCTCACACAGTGGCTCAAGAGGGGGCACGTGGGTTTCCAAAGGAATCCGCTCAGCACGGGGGTGTCAGGCGATGACAGTGCCTCTGACACCTTCACTTGAAAGGGCCGGTGAAAGAGGCCTCGGCTGTGTCCTGCAAGAGGACCGTCGAGACTGCTGCACACCGAGCTGCGCCCTCTGTTAACAGCCGCACGGCAGCAGGAGAGAGTTCCAGGGATCGGACGCACCCAAGAACCTTTGCTAAAAGCAGCGTTCAGGGGCAGCTGGATGCTGCATTGGCTGCTTTCAGTTCTCAGAACTGAGAACTCATGGGCTGGACCCCCGGCATCACCCACTCTCTGGCGCTAGGGGTGGCTGACCGACCACCCAAGAAGACGGGAGAAACTCCTTGTCTGGTAACATCTGCCATCTTCCACTGCCAGGAAACCCCTCTGTAAGTCTAACCCGAGCCTCTCGTGCTGCAGTAGGGGCTTTTTCCTTACCCAGCTCTCGGCACAGCTGAGATGTGAGTAGCTTTTGTTTTTCTAACCTGCCCTAAAATGTCTCCCTCCATCGTACTTTCTTCCCATAACTGTGCCTACCTTTCTCCCCTTGGCTTGTCTTTAAGTACTTTGAGCCCTTCCTGATGTGAGAAGCACAGAACAGTTACACTTGACACAGCCAACACTAAACCATTCCCTTTGACACCACAGTGTCTGACACCACGCTAGGGACCGTGTGCACATGATCCTGTTTAATCTTCACAACAGTCCTACGGGGCAGGTAACATACCCCTTCTGCAGATGAAAAGATTCAAGTTCTGACATGGTAAATGACTCGCCCAAGGTCAAACAGTGGTACGTCCTGGAGCCTGAGTTTAACTCAAGGCAGCCTGCTTCAGCATGCACACTCTTACCTCCCTGTCTCCTGGCTGGGTACATTCTAAGTGGCACATCGGGGAGCACCTGGCATACGTTCAGAGGCTACCAAACCACTGTAGAAATTGCTAGAATAAAATGTAATTAGGGGGTGGCCCTACTGCTACAAAAAGAGAGACATGCCATATTTCACAGCAAAGCCCAGAGATGCACCGTGCCTCTCCGTCCAGCTCTCTGTGCTCAGGAAGACGCTTTCTTTCCTTTCTCTTCGCTTTCTCCTTCTTTCTAGGAGCATTCAACATAGTTGTCCTTTGTTCAGTGTGCCTCACTTTGACTTTATAGTCCTTCCAGCTGCCGTTATGCTTGGTCAACCCCGATCTACATTGGACTCAAGAGAAGGGGTCACTCTCACGTTGAGGCAGGACGGTGAGAAGCTAGGGTAGTTGCTG